AAACTGAGGCAAAGTCAAGAGAGGAATAAACTTAGAAATGTCAGTCAAAGGGTATGCCAAACATTGACTAAGTGGCCGAAAAGAGTGTGTCCAGAAATAGGCCGAAATATGTAGCCAAATCAGACCAAAAGGCACCACAATACATCTTACACACAGAAACACTCAGTCACGAACACATCATACATGCAAAACACACCTCTCACACATCCACCAATACTCATATGCAAAACGTCTCTCAGATACACCCTCACATTCACAAATACACCCTGACACACTCACAGATACACCCTCACACATTCACAAATACACCCTGACACAGGCAAAACACACCTCTCAAACACTCACAGATACACCCTCACACATGTAAAAACACACCTCTCAAACACTCACAGACACACCCTCACACATTCACACATACACCCGATCAACAACACATGCAAACGATCGTGTTCATATACACGCATTCAGACATGCACAAAATGCAGGAACTCTCTCTCTCTCTATGTACACACACACACACATACAAAACACATCTCACACATGCACCAACTTACAAACGTAAAACACATCTGACACATACATCCAGTTATGCTTAATACAACCTCTAACACATGCACACTCTCAAACATTCATACAAAACACACCCTCGCACACATATACACTTTAACCTGCATACACGCACGCACGCACGCACGCACGCACGCACGCACACACACACACACTGGATGAGAAATCTACGAGAAGATTCTCCTAAAGAAGGCGCTCACTCTCCTCAGCGCCTTCCTCACAGGATGAACCTCTCGGTCCTCCACGAAGCTGTCCTCGTCCTCGTCTTCAAAGACCCAGTAGTCACACTGTCGTCGTCACTAGGGCAGGATAGTGGTCGACGTAGGTGATGGTGACTGGGGCGGGGAGCGTCTCACCGTGGTCAGGGCGGGCCCAGAATGGGGTGAAAACACTCAGGGGGTCATGTGAAGGGGTCGGGGAAGCAGCCTGGGGACGCTACATCAGTCAGTGGGGAGGGAGGGAGGGAGAAAGGAGGGTCATTTAAAAGAGGTTATAGGGAGGTTGGCAAAAGAAAGTCATAGTCATAGTCCCAGATTACACATGTCAAATAATGTTAATGTGTACATGAGAGACGGGCGTGAGGGGGTTATTTTCAGGACACCATAACAGACGGGGAAATCGTCCAGTGCAAAAGCACGTTTAAGATATCACTGGCTCATGGACAAAAGAAACACGCCATTCCGCCGAATATGAAGCCGGTGTAGATAGGATACATACACCGTCGGATTCCTCATCCAGCGACGGCCATAGACTAGCAGCAGGAGTGACATGATACCGGATCATGTCTTCCCGTGCTGAAAATAACCCAAACAGCACATTCAAATACACAATAACTACATGTACAACAAAACCTCCTTAACCTTTAAATCCAAAATATAACGAGATATTCGTACTTCCACAAAGACGGATTGCACATATTCGGACATCGGGCCAATAGAGGCTCTTCTGATAGTGCAAAGCTACTTGATATAAAGTTAGGGGTCGAGTTAAAGTGTTTTCACCTTCAGGACAAGACGACATGGACCCTCTACTCAGCAAATATAGATATATAGATCCCTGCAGACGTTGTTATTTACCCCTTGGCATTTTTATGAACAGACGGACGGACACACGCTCATTGTTTCCTTACAAAATGCATCATCTAATGATGTCAATGTAGGCCGTAGTAGACTCCAGGTCAAAATTTCTATAAAAAAGTCTAATATACATAAATTTCATCTGAAATTAATTTACATTATGCCCCGTCATATGTATACACGGAAAGATCACATTTCGAGGACAGAAAGGCCAAGTAAAATATAGACATTTCTGAATTTTAATACAAATTGCAAATGGCGGCCATGTACAAATGTCATCGCTATCGGTACTGCTGTCAAACTGCGACCAATTCCAGTAGAAATCTACGTCCTTTACACTTTAAAATACAATAACTGTCTTCTTAAATACCTTGAATATGCAGCCTTGTAAACATCTTGTCAGTAGAAGATCTTGAAACGATGCTGTAGTCAACGATATGCAGAGCGATAGGGAGTATGAGCGATAGCGATTCTGTTAAAAACAGAGGGGACGTTGGCAACGACAACGGTAACTATGTGGAGACGAAGTCAGAACGAGGCGTCATCGTCCATTTCCGGTAACGACAATCAGCCGGCTGTGGTTGCATGTCATAGGACCAAACTCTTGGCGATTTTTAGGTTTCCGACCATTGCCAATATATTCAAACGTCAAATATATGGAAATTAAATACCAACTCGGGCAAATCGGCTGATAAAAAATATCACTCATTCTCAAAGGATAATGTTAGATCTAGTAGGCCCTACAGAATAGAAAACTTTAAGCATTCATTTTCAATCAAAAGTGTTTCAGATTCCTTTCTTTTTGCTATTTCATATATGCTCATCCCAGAAACAGAACTTGCAGTTTAAACTCCTGCAGTCAAGGTTGAAAATGACAGACCATTATTATCGCCAGATGCATGGTTCTGAATGCATGAAAATATATTGTGACATTTAGGAAGGAAGACCATGAACAATAGGGAAAGAAAGACATAACTGTCGACCCAAAAGCAAACTACGTTTCAGAAAAGGAAGCAGATCCTGGTGTGCCAGCCCGCGTTGTCATGGTTCCCGTCGGTGATAAAAAGAAGGGCACGCTGAGGTTATTTTGACCCCCGAGTATTAACTGGTTAACAACTGAATGTATTTAATTGCTGGCCAAGACACTTCGTCTCAGCCGGGAAAGGTCTGCTGTGTGTGGCTGATGTACATTTAAGTTTGCCGGGACTGCTGCACTCATAACTGTCGCGGAAGGACAAGCGGGTAGATTCTTCTAAATCCGCGCTTTTAACTCGCACTAATAAGCCGACAAGAGTGGTCTCCCTTCAATCATTGGTCGTGAAGAAGCTGAATGAGGCGCCGGAGTATCCATTCCCCACACTTACATATCAGATGAAAGCTAACTAACCCGTTGGTTAAATCAGCTGGTCTGCATGTATATTTTGAACATGATTTAACTGAGAAATCTACGCCAGGTCTACAGCATATTCCCAGCTATATCCTCGCTTTTCTCGTTTTCCATTGTAAATACAGATTGTGAAGGCTGGACTAGAAGACAGCAACACAGCGGGTGAGGACAAATGCCCCTGAACATGTTCATTTGTAAACTAGTTTCAACTGTATAACATTTTTAAGATAGCTCGACGCGAGACTCTGGTCAGCTGCCTCTACTGCTGTCACCTAGCCGTTAATAGATCTACTAAAGGAAGTGGTCTCCCTTCAACCATTGGTCGTGAAGAAGCTGGATGAGGCGCCGGTGCATTCATTCCCCTCACTTACAAATGAGCTGAAAGCTAATTAACCTGTTGGCTGAATCAGCTGGTTTGTATGTTTATTTTGTACATGACAGAACTGAGAAATTAACGCCAGCACCACATCATATTTCCAGCTTTATCCTCGCTCACCCAACTGCAAAGTCAGGATCCCTGGCGTTTAACTGTCAGCCAATGTATTTGATAATCTGGTCGTAATGACTTGTTGTAGCATTCAGCACTGGTTGTCTGTGTGTGTATTTAGCCAGAGTACCCTGATCTACTATCTATCCTAAAGATATTATAATGACAATGGATAGAGACAAAGTAACAGAGAATATTGGACATTCCTCTTTGTTTGGAAGCTTGGTATCATTTCAGATGGAACATGGTAAGCCTGTTTCCTTGGCAACATGTTTATTAAAAACAGTACACATATATCATGCTATACGTCTGAACATAAAGCAAAGATGACTTATTCACCCCCCAGTATGTACGGGTCAGTTAGACAACATAAAAATGTCCAAAGTCTCTTCTACACATAAACACCCAAAAAGTGGGAAGGGAGACCACTCTCCATCCCCCGTCAGGTGTGCTGTGACCTATAGTGAGCGAAGTTATCGTAAAATACTCAGCGTTCCGATATCAGCTTGTACTATGGCTACCCATGTGTCCATACACTTCAGGTTTTCCATGTCAGATTCAGTTTGTAAAGACCGGGCTTGAAGACAGCAACACACCGGATGAGGCGCCGGTGTATCTCAAGCACTTAAGTAAAACTATACTCACTCACTCATCCTACATATACAATGGGAAATTACGATTTTCGCGTGTAAAAAATCAAAAATATATTTTTTAATGACTGGATAAATAGTGACGGAATATCCACCTCCTGTTTCAACTATGACCATGTCTTTGTCTTTCGATTTGCTTCTCTCACATCTAGGATGATTTTCTGCATCTTCTCCACTTGTGCATCCATTAATAAATTTACAAACGGTATACAAATTTATCTCAGTAATATATTAACAATTTGACAACCACTTTTGCCTTCAGATTTCAAAATTTATGATACGTTGTTCCTGGTAAAGGGTCGCATTTTGCCCGCCACTGACAAGACTTCGTAGCTAGTTAATGAGAGTTATTTCCACTGGGTTGATAGGTGATCCGGCAATTTTGTGCCCCCTAACATTTCCTCTATCCACATTGTCTCTTGGGTCAACTATATGCTAGGCTGACGCATAGTCTCTGAATATATATAATTTTGATAGTAACAAACGAACCCATATACCTAAATTGAAAAGGAGCCCCAGGGAGACCAGAGATTCAGACCTGAGGAAATCTAGACTTGCTTCATTTAGGGCTTTAGCATTGCAGAGATGGTTTGGCAGTAGGGAAAATAATGTGGTTCAGGGACTGTGAGACAGACTAACTATATGCAGACAGATGCCATTAATAAACTCTGTTTAACTATCGCTGCCATTTTGTGAACTCAACATGGCATGTGAGTGTATGTGGTGTGTGTAGGCTGTTTATGTTGGGTTCACTGTTATTGACATCAACAACAAAAACTGTCGTCTTGTCACTATCTTACAATTTATGAATTAACAACATATGACCCATAACATAATATTAATATTTTATTCAATGAAACTTTTGATATATACCCATACTGTGAACTATCATCATGACTTCAATCCATGACACACCCAATGACGATTCAATGAATAACCCTTTCAGCTTGGATGTCCATAATTCCTGCACATTCAAGACGTTTTTAACGAAATTTTGCCTACAGTAAAATAGGATAAAATTATATACTGTTACTATATTTATTATATTGTTGATTGTTTGATTACACTCAAGCATAAATCTGAAGAAATCCTTTCATAATGAATAAAATATCTGAAATTCAATGACATGTAGTTAATGCAGGTAGAAACCAATTCCTTGGGAAGCAACCTAGAGGAGAAACCAAGAGGAGGCTCTATTGAAAGAAAATGCTCCTTCTTGCATGATCTTTCATTTACGTTCTTTCATGAAATGGTACATTCAATAAGAAAAAATATATATTTATGGATGTGTGTGGACTTTGGCAAAACCATAAATAGAGAATCGGCTTGCTGAGGAGTATTAAACTTATTGTAGATAAGATTAGTATCAAAAGCAGGGATGGCAACAGGAAAATCTATTTTCAGCGGAAAACTTAATATTGTGTCATCAAATGGGGGTCTCTCAATGGATTTAGACAATTCACAATGGGACAATTTGAAATAAAATCCGCGGAAATCTGCAGATCAGCGGAAAATTGCCATCCCTGCAAAAGAGATGAGTCTTCTCCATAACCTACCCTGAATCTACTGCAGGGCCCTTGTAGTGCTGACAGAACAAGAAAGTCACCAACTAAACAATCAGTGTGCAGAAACATTTATCAGTATTTGTTTTCTTTGCTCTGCTATGAAATGATGGCAAGTTATGTTCAATTTCTGTTTTAACAAGAAGCCTTGGGGCCAACCATATTCACAATATTTTTCTGGACATTTAGTAAAGTAGTCTTCCTAGACTTGAATCAGTGTGGTGCAAATCTGCTGAATGTCCTGTAAAATATGTTATTGGTGTGGTAAAATGTGAGGCCAAGTTACGTTTTGTCATTTATTCTGGAACAAATAATTATGAACAAGCCTGCTCCTTTCCCCGAATGACAGTAGTATTGACTATGATGAACAATATATATACTACCCATATTTATTTTGTGACAGGAGAATCTGTTGTATGTCTGTAGTGAGTGTCTGTGGCAGCAAATGGGTGAACTACTTGTGAAGTGTTGAGTGCCGCAGTGGCCAAACTGTGTGGGCAGGAAGTGTGGCTAGATCGACCTCAGGTATCAGGAAGCCAAACCAAGACATACATCCAGGGATTTAAATGGAGCCCTGTCTTTGAGGGTCCCTGGGACTCATACTCTTAATTTTCAGGGGTCCTGGACAACAAAATGGGGGTCCCAGACACTTAAATATTATTATTAATTCTGTTATTGTATTGTGTATCATGATCATCACATTGTTACTGTAATTAAATTGCAAGTAATACCATATTAACCCAGCTAGTAGCAAACTCAGTGATAACTTATTGTCACTTGATTGGAATTTTTACAAAAAGTATTTGGACCTGTGGATGCGCTTATAAATTTTGTTGCGTCCATTGTCAATTTTTATGTGTATAGGACACAGGAATTCGCGTCCTGTAAATCCCCGTTACATCAGAGAAACACCCAGACCCCACAATATCCTCATCACAGATCATCCGACAAACTCCTACATTTCAGGTCACATTCATCACATTCCTACCATACCACCAGCCCCATGTCCTTGACAACAACCAATAAACAACAGTTTCTAAGATGCCACTTGAAGAGATAGATTGATGGTACCAACATTTAAGAGATGTTAAAATATTGCATTCAGCTATAAAATATGTAACAAGTCTTGGGTCTCAATTATGACAGGGTGTAAAAAAATATCCACAACGAAATTATGATGTAACCTTTGTTGATTACATTCCATAGATGCCAGTAAACTTCTTTTTCAAGATACAGATATCAGATAAGCTGATAAGAATGTTTGCTCATCTATGCTAAGAAACTCAGAACGCATGGAAGCCGATGAGAAAGTTCCCTTCTCTGGAGGCGTCCTAAGATCTTCACACTAAGAGGTATTGTATCAGAGTAAAACCTCTGATTTTAATGTTTGCAAGCAAGGAAAGCAATGACATGTTTTGTTGATAGGTGTTCCATTTGAATTCACATCATACTTCGTTGACTGACTTTTTCTTGCGTTTTTCTGAAAAATAAATAACAATGAGAATTTAATTGCAACAATAGCAAAACAAAATAATTTTCTTTTATAAAATGCAGTTTACAATATATTATTCTGCATGTATGAGACATAAGCCCATGCAACCTGACAAGAGTTGCATGTAATTACCTTGCACACATCTGGGGGTTTTCGAATTGCTCCAGCGTTGACTGGCTTTACACTTGGTTGCCGGTTTCCCTATCATGGTATAGCCTTTGTTACACGTAAAGATACAACGCTGTTTGAACGGTACAGAGTTCGTCAGACACACTGGGGGCTGGACACTGCCATTTTTAGGTTCTGTTAAAGCAGTACAGTATAATCCTGGAAAATATAATTGGATGGATATGAAATCCAGGCTAATATAACCTTCATGGTAGTGTGGGTGAGTGAGTTGGGTTTAACACCGCTTTTGGCAATATTCCAGCAATATCACGGTGGGGGACACCAGAATGTAATTTTCTGACTAAAATTGATATTGTCTCCTTCTTCTTGCGAATGATAGTGGAACACTTGCCTCCTTTGGCGCCCTTTTTGGTCACATTTATTTCTCAACCAATCAGATTGCAAAACACACTCACACGTTATTTCACAATATCCAATAACACCTGCAACCCTGAAACACGAAATGTTTATATTCTTGTGAAAGCATACCTTGACAGCGAGGCTGGGATCCCGACCACGTGCTGTTGGCTTGACAGCTCCGATACCGCAGACCAGTCAGCTCGAATCCACGTGAACAGCGGAAGGAGCAGATCGTCCCCTTCTTCAGTTTGCTGAGTGAGAGGGGGGATGTACAGGCAGGGGGCCAGATGCGCCCGTTGGGGAAGCGCTTCAGTGTGGGACAAGTTACACCTGTCAAATATCAACATATTGCCGATATCAACACTTCATTGCTTTGTATACTAAAGAAAACAAGTTAAGGATCATGAATATTTGGTTGAGGGATGGATATATGTGTGGAATTGTGTGTCAAGTCGTAGCTACAAACAAAAATCCCCCAAAATATTCATGATGCTTAACCTGTCTTGTTCAGTATAAGTTTAATAGTTTTCACTCCTGTTGAAAACTGGTTCCTCTTGATCTCAAGTAGTGATTCTACAGAATACAATTTTTCCATTGAATGTAATCACTAGTTAGATCTATTCCTGTCCCACCTCAACTCTCTGCACAAACGATCACTAATGTACACCACATAAACTACCCTTGAATACATACGTCTACAGGACTCCTTGTCGTCCCACCTCAACTCTCTGCACAACCATCACTAATGTACACCACATAACTACCCTTAAAAACAACTACATACCCACCTCAACTCTCTGCATGGACGATCCTAATGTATTTCCACGTAAAATGCTACCCTTGAATTATGTATCGCCTCAGGACTCCTTGTCGTCCCACCTCAACTCTCTGCACAAACGATCACTAATGTACACCACATAAACTACCCTTGAATACATACGTCTACAGGACTCCTTGTCGTCCTGCAGTGTGTAGGACTGGCGACAGGTGCAGGAGAAGCTGCCAGGGGAGTTGATACACCGATGTTCACAGCCGCCATTCTCCTCGTCACATTCGTTGATGTCTACAAACGAAAACAGTCATAAAGAACAGCTTTAAGCATTATTAGGGACCATTCATAATTTATGGCTTGTGTGTGTTCGTGCGCTTGTGTGTGTGATGATGATGATGATTTTAAGGGGGATCCCCCATTTTGTTCTGTGGAGGGGGTCCATCAATTTTTGTTTACATGTACTAGTGGGGTAAGCAATTTTGTACATACAAATAATTAAAAATTATGGAGGGGTGGGGAGTCTTTGATTTTGTACATGACATGCAAGGGGGGTCACCTGCACATAAAATTTGGGGGGGCGCATTCACATCGTACATGCTTCTCTACTTCTCTATAAGAATCACCATCACGCCCCTAGCCTTAAATAATGAATGGTCCCTAACTCTCAACTTACTGCAGATCACCAAACACTGAAGCGCACACCAGGTTGGATGGAATGGGGAAGGAACTACATGCATGGATGTACACAGGAATTGAATCAATGTTCTGGGTGAATGGTAAAACTCACAAACAAACCATGTGGCACTGGCTAAGCTGTAACCACTGGAAAATCTGTCAGCTCTTTATTTGTGTGTGTTGTCAGTGCATACATTTAGACATTGTCTTGACTTCACAGGTTTACATACAGAGAGAAGGATGAGAAAGCCACAATAACTCGGTGTGCCTAGTGACTGCAAGAGTTGTATACTCCCCAGGGAGTTGAGATTGATAATACGATGTGCCGTTGAGATTGACATCCAAAGATCGAGGGAAAAATACCAGCGCCTTGAGCATGCACTAGTTGCCTGGATATGTGCGCTATATAAATATCCTATAATAATAATAATAATAATAATAATAAAAAAGCACCTTAGTTACATATTTTCAAATACATCAACATGAGTTAATAAAAGTTCAAAACTAAGTCTTGCTGTGTCATTATTACACCACAAGTAGCCATATGTACTGATTAGTGAGAGAATGTAGTGTGGAAGTTTAACATGAAATTTAAGCTGGTATTAAGTGATATACCAGCTTCATCCTACCGTAGCAGCCTAATACAGACTGAGACCAGGCTGTCAACAGTGTCATAAATGGCCTCTGACGACAATTATGGGTAGTGGGGATGTAATAAGCTGGGTGCTTAACTTTGTGTTTGTGATTTTGTTTAATGCAGCACTCAGCAGTTATCAAGCTATGTGATGGCAGCTTGCAAATGATTAAGTCTGGACCAGATAATCAAGTGACTGTTATTATCAACACTATACAATCATCTGTAATATGATGATATGTAATAACCAAGTCGATGCGCATGATCTCTGATCCATTAATAACAAGGTTAAGATGTTCAGGACCAACTCTAGTCCTGGCTCGACTGAAGCAAGATGACTGTACTGACCCATACAATTGATGCCCTCTGCTGGTGTCCCTGCAAAGCCCTGTGCACAGATACACTGAGTCATGGTGGTGCTGCCTTTCTGTAGAGTCAGGGACTTGGCAGGGCAGGGGACACACGCTCGTCGGTTGGAGAACTTGGGGCTGAACGTTCCCAGTGGGCACACTGAAACACAACACAGGCCATGGTGCTGAGAATCAATGCTGCTTCCTGAGTGAGTGAGTGAGTGAGTTTAGTTTTACGCCACACTCAGCAATATTCCAGCTATATGGCGGCTGTCTGTAAATAATAGAGTCTGGATCAGACAGTCCAGTGATCAACATCCTGAGCATCGATCTGCGCCAATTGGGAACCGATGACATGTGTCAACCAAGCCAGCGAGCCTGACCACCCGATCCCGTTAGTCGCCTCTTACGACAAGCATGGGTTACTGAAGGTTCATTCTAACCCGGATCTTCACGGGTCTGCTGCTTATGACTTTTTGTAACTGTATGCAAGTACAGTAAACTTCATCAGTTCAAGGAACCATTTATTTTAGTCATAACAATAGTTCTTCACACACAATTTGATTAAATTATATAGAAAGTCCTGGGATCAAAAGTACATTTCGCTTCCGATAATTTGTTACAATCATTTTCATTATAAACATATGGCTTACTAAAATTATCCATAAAATTATCCTAAACATCCATTCCCAAAATCCAAACTTACATTTTTCTGATCCATGATAATAAACAGGATCATATATATAAATCTAACGAGAAAATCCTCAGGATTAATTGTAAATTAATGAGGCAGATTTGAAAATTTTATAACAGATCTGTAGCCCACCTACAGATATTTGCAACATCAGATTACAAAGGTCATCATAATATTTGAGATGAAATGAAGTTTTACAAATATCATGCCCTGTGTTTGTGGCTGCTCATTCTAGTCCAGCCTAATGCCAGTTTACTTGTGCAGGCCCACTGACATACCAAGTACCATCTTTTATAGTCTAGCGGTATGACGGACCTACAACCTTCGCCTCTCCAGGCAGACACTGTGTCGGCTTGTCAGTGAGGCAGTTTTAATATGTTAGGTAAACAAGTATTAGTCAACAAGAAAGTTTACATTTGCATCCGGATCCATCATAGTAGAAGCCAGGTCTACATTCACAGCGGTAGGTGCCTCGTAGGTTCACGCACTTGTGGTCGCAGATGTTCGGGATAAGACACTCGTTTTTATCTGGAAACAAGCAAGGAGTTTAGGGTGAGAGCAGCAGAATGACAAATTTCTGATCATATTGGTTATAGATTATGAAACTAATGGCATCACACAACATCATCAAATGATTCCCAACAGCATCACACACAGCATCAGTATTGCTTACATCATCATCAGTGTCACATGAGTATTGCTTACATCATCATCAGTGTCACATCAGTATTGCTTACAACATCATCAGTGTCACATCAGTATTGCTTACAACATCATCAGTGTCACATCAGTATTGCTTACAACATCATCAGTGTCACATCAGTATTGCTTACAACATCATCAGTGTCACATCAGTATTGCTTACAACATCATCAGTGTCACATCAGTATTGCTGACAACATCATCAGTGTCACATCAGTATTGGTTACAACATCATCAATCAGTATTGCTACAACAACATCATCAGTGTCACATCAGTATTGCTTACAACATCATCAGTGTCACATCAGTATTGCTTACATCATCATCAGTGTCACATGAGTATTGCTTACATCATCATCAGTGTCACATCAGTATTGCTTACAACATCATCAGTGTCACATCAGTATTGCTTACAACATCATCAGTGTCACATCAGTATTGCTTACAACATCATCAGTGTCACATCAGTATTGCTTACAAATCATCATCAGTGTCACATCAGTATTGCTTACAACATCATCAGTGTCACATCAGTATTGCTGACAACATCATCAGTGTCACATCAGTATTGGTTACAACATCATCAGTGTCACATCAGTATTGCTTACAACATCATCAGTGTCACATCAGTATTGCTTACATCATCATCAGTGTCACATCAGTATTGCTTAAAACATCATCAGTGTCACATCAGTATTGCTTACATCATCATCAGTGTCACATCAGTATTGGTTACAACATCATCAGTGTCACATCAGTATTGCTTACAACATCATCAGTGTCACATCAGTATTGCTTACAACATCATCAGTGTCACATCAGTATTGCTTACATCATCATCAGTGTCACATCAGTATTCCTTACAACATCTTCAGTGTCACATCAGTATTGCTTACATCATCATCAGTGTCACATCAGTATTGGTTACAACATCATCAGTGTCACATCAGTATTGCTTACAACATCATCAGTGTCACATCAGTATTGCTGACAACATCTTCAGTGTCACATCAGTATTGCTTACATCATCATCAGTGTCACATCAGTATTGCTGACAACATCATCAGTGTCACATCAGTATTGCTTACAACAACATCAGTGTCACATCAGTATTGCTGACAACATCATCAGTGTCACATCAGTATTGCTGACAACATCATCAGTGTCACATCAGTATTGCTTACATCATCATCAGTGTCACATCAGTATTGGTAACATTATCATCAGTGTCACATCAGTATTGCTGACAACATCATCAGTGTCACATCAGTATTGCTGACAACATCATCAGTGTCACATCAGTATTGCTTACATCATCATCAGTGTCACATGAGTATTGGTAACATTATCATCAGTGTCACATCAGTATTGCTGACAACATCATCAGTGTCACATCAGTATTGCTTACATCATCATCAGTGTCACATCAGTATTGGTAACATTATCATCAGTGTCACATCAGTATTGCTGACAACATCATCAGTGTCACATCAGTATTGCTGACAACATCATCAGTGTCACATCAGTATTGCTGACAACATCATCAATGTTACATCAGTATTGCTGACAACATCATCAGTGTCACATCAGTATTGCTTACAACATCATCAGTGTCACATCAGTATTGCTTACAACATCATCAGTGTCACATCAGTATTGCTTACAACATCATCAGTGTCACATCAGTATTGCTGACAACATCATCAGTGTCACATCAGTATTGCTTACATCATCATCAGTGTCACATCAGTATTGCTTACATCATCATCAGTGTCACATGAGTATTGGTAACATTATCATCAGTGTCACATCAGTATTGCTGACAACATCATCAGTGTCACATCAGTATTGCTTACATCATCATCAGTGTCACATCAGTATTGCTTACATCATCATCAGTGTCACATCAGTATTGGTTACAACATCATCAGTGTCACATCAGTATTAGCTTTACAACATCATCAGTGTCACATCAGTATTGCTTTACATCATCATCAGTGTCGCATCAGTATTGCTTAAAACATCATCAGTGTCACATCAGTATTGCTGACAACATCATCAGTGTCAGCATCAGTATTGCTGACAACATCATCAGTGTCAGCATCAGTATTACTTACAACATCATCAGTGTCACATCAGTATTGCTTACAACATCATCAGTGTCACATCAGTATTGCTTACAACATCATCAGTGTCACATCAGTATTGCTGACAACATCATCAGTGTCACATCAGTATTGGTTACAACATCATCAGTGTCACATCAGTATTGCTTACAACATCATCAGTGTCACATCAGTATTGCTTACATCATCATCAGTGTCACATCAGTATTGCTTAAAACATCATCAGTGTCACATCAGTATTGCTTACATCATCATCAGTGTCACATCAGTATTGGTTACAACATCATCAGTGTCACATCAGTATTGCTGACAACATCATCAGTGTCACATCAGTATTGCTGACAACATCATCAGTGTCACATCAGTATTGCTTACAACATCATCAGTGTCACATCAGTATTGCTTACAACATCATCAGTGTCACATCAGTATTGCTTACAACATCATCAGTGTCACATCAGTATTGCTGACAACATCATCAGTGTCACATCAGTATTGGTTACAACATCATCAGTGTCACATCAGTATTGCTTACAACATCATCAGTGTCACATCAGTATTGCTTACATCATCATCAGTGTCACATCAGTATTGCTTTACATCATCATCAGTGTCACATCATCAGTATTGCTTACAACATCATCAGTGTCACATCAGTATTGCTGACAACATCATCAGTGTCACATCAGTATTGCTTACATCATCATCAGTGTCACATCAGTATTGGCTTATCATCATCATCACATCAGTATTGCTTACATCATCAGTCACATCAGTATTATTACAACATCATCAGTGTCACATCAGTATTGCTTTACAACATCATCAGTGTCACATCAGTATTGCTTACAACATCATCAGTCACATCAGTATGACAACATCTTCAGTGTCACATTGCTTACAACATCATCAGTGTCACATCAGTATTGGTTACAACATCATCAGTGTCACATCAGTATTGCTTACAACATCATCGTGTCATCAGTGTGCTTACAACATCTTCAGTGTCACATGAGTATTGCTTACAACATCATCAGTGTCACATCAGTATTGCTTACATCATCATCAGTGTCACATCAGTATTGGTTACAACATCATCAGTGTCACATCAGTATTGCTTACAACATCATCAGTGTCACATCAGTATTGCTTACAACATCATCAGTGTCACATCAGTATTGCTGACAACATCTTCAGTGTCACATCAGTATTGCTTACAACATCATCAGTGTCACATCAGTATTGCTTACAACATCATCAGTGTCACATCAGTATTGCTTACAACATCATCAGTGTCACATCAGTATTGCTTACAACATCTTCAGTGTCACATCAGTATTGCTGACAACATCATCAGTGTCACATCAGTATTGCTTACAACATCATCAGTGTCACATCAGTATTGCTTACAACATCATCAGTGTCACATCAGTATTGCTTACAACATCATCAGTGTCACATCAGTATTGCTTACAACATCATCAGTGTCACATCAGTATTGCTTACAACATCTTCAGTGTCAAATCAGTATTGCTTACAACAACATCAGTGTCACATCAGTATTGCTGACAACATCATCAGTGTCACATCAGTATTGCTTACAACATCATCAGTGTCACATCAGCATTGCTTTACAACATCATCAGTGTCACATCAGTATTTGACAACATCTTCAGTGTCAAATCAGTATTGCTTACAACAACATCAGTGTCACATCAGTATTGCTGACAACATCATCAGTGTCACATCAGTATTGCTTACAACATCATCAGTGTCACATCAGTATTGCTGACAACATCATCAGTGTCACATCAGTATTGCTGACAACATCTTCAGTGTCACATCAGTATTGCTTACAACATCATCAGTGTCACATCAGTATTGCTTACATCATCATCAGTGTCACATGAGTATTGGTAACATTATCATCAGTGTCACATCAGTATTGCTGACAACATCATCAGTGTCACATCAGTATTGCTGACAACATCATCAGTGTCACATGAGTATTGGTAACATTATCATCAGTGTCACATCAGTATTGCTGACAACATCATCAGTGTCACATCAGTATTGCTGACAACATCTTCAGTGTCACATCAGTATTGCTTACAACATCATCAGTGTCACATCAGTATTGCTTACAACATCATCAGTGTTACTCCAAACAAAATCGCACATAGAGGATACTATATGAGTGGCCATGTCACACTATGTTTACGGCATGAGTATGGGCACAAAGATAATGGTCTATTTATTACCGAAGTTGTCAAATTGAGGAAAATACATCCAAATCTACTTTCAAACATAGGCTGGCTACCCGCCGTCGCTGCATGTAGAACGCAACGTCATAGAAGAAACATGACGTCATAGCATTGTTCATGACGTCACGTCTCTATGACAAAGTGATATTTTGCCCTAGGGCATCGCATAAAAAATATTAAACCCAACATTTTCACCCTCTTAGGTAATAAAACAGCATTAGTATCACTCCCAACAGCACCAGACACCACAGCATGAGACATCAGACAACACAGTAGACACAACAGCACCAGACACCACAGCATGAGACATCAGACACCACAGCATGAGACATCAGACAACACAGTAGACACAACAGCACCAGACACCACAGCATGAGACATCAGACAACACAGTAGACACAACAGCACCAGACACCACAGCATGAGACATCAGACAACACAGCATGAGACATCAGACAACACAGTAGACACAACAGCACCAGACACCACAGCATGAGACATCAGACAACACAGTAGACACAACAGTACCAGACACCACAGCATGAGACATCAGACAACACAGTAGACACAACAGCACCAGACACCACAGCATGAGACATCAGACACCACAGCATTAGACATCAGACAACACAGTAGACACAACAGCACCAGACACCACAGCATGAGACATCAGACAACACAGTAGACACAACAGAACCAGACACCACAGCATGAGACATCAGACAACACAGTAGACACAACAGCACCAGACACCACAGCATGAGACATCAGACAACACAGTAACACACACCACAGCAGCACCAGACACCACAGCATGAGACATCAGACACCACAGAGACATCAGACAACACAGTAGACACAACAGACACAACAGCACCAGACACCACAGCATGAGACATCAGACAACACAGTAGACACAACAGTACCAGACACCACAGCATGAGACATCAGACAACACAGTAGACACAACAGTACCAGACACACCACAGAGACATCAGAGACATCAGACACAACAGCACCAGACACCACAGCATGAGACATCAGACAACACAGTAGACACAACAGCACCAGACACCACAGCATGAGACATCAGACAACACAGTAGACACAACAGCACCAGACATCACAGCATGAGACATCAGACAACACAGTAGACACAACAGCACCAGACACCACAGCATGAGACATCAGACAACACAGTAGACACAACAGAACCAGACACCACAGCATGAGACATCAGACAACACAGTAGACACAACAGCACCAGACACCACAGCATGAGACATCAGACAACACAGTAGACACCACACAACAGACAACACAGTAGACACAGACACCAGACACCACAGCATGAGACATCAGACAACACAGTAGACACAACAGCACCAGACACCACAGCATGAGACATCAGACAACACAGTAGACACAGCAGTACCAGACACCACAGCATGAGACATCAGACACACACACAACAGTACCAGACACCACAGCATGAGACATCAGACAACACAGTAGACACAACAGCACCAGACACCACAGCATGAGACATCAGACAACACATGAGACATCAGACACAACAACACCAGACACCACAGCACATCAGACACAGCATGAGACACAACACAGTAGACATCAGACACACCAGACACCACAGCATGAGGACACCAGACACACACAGACATCAGACATCAGACACACAGACACAGCACCAGACACCACAGCATGAGACATCAGACAACACACACAGACACAACAGCACCAGACACCACAGCATGAGACATCAGACAACACACAAGACACCACAAGACACCAGACACCACAGCATGAGACATCAGACAACACAGTAGACACAACAGCACCAGACACCACAGCATGAGACATCAGACAACACAGTAGACAGCACAGACACCACACCAGACACCACAGACACCACAGAGACATCAGACACAACACAACAGCACCAGACACCACAGCATGAGACATCAGACAACACAGTGAGACATCAGACACACAGACACCCACAACAGCACATCAGACACCACAGCATGGACAGGACACCACAGATGAGACATCAGACAACATGTAAACACAACAGCACCAGACACCACAGCATGAGACATCAGACACCACAGCATGAGACATCAGACAACACAGTAGACACAACAGCACCAGACACCACAGCATGAGACATCAGACAACACAGTAGACACAACAGTACCAGACACCACAGCATGAGACATCAGACAACACAGTAGACACAACAGCACCAGACACCACAGCATGAGACATCAGACAACACAGTAGACACAACAGCACCAGACACCACAGCATGAGACATCAGACAACACAGTAGACACAACAGCACCAGACACCACAGCATGAGACATCAGACAACACAGTAGACACAACAGCACCAGACACCACAGCATGAGACATCAGACACCACAGTAGACACAACAGCACCAGACACCACAGCATGAGACATCAGACAACACAGTAGACACAACAGCACCAGACACCACAGCATGAGACATCAGACAACACAGTAGACACAACAGTACCAGACACCACAGCATGAGACATCAGACACCACAGCATGAGACACAACAGCACCAGACACCACAGCATGAGACATCAGACAACCACAGTAAACACAACAGCACCAGACACCACAGCATGAGACATCAGACAACACAGTAGACACAACAGCACCAGACACCACAGCATGAGACACAGCAGTAGACACAACAGCACACCAGACACCACAGCATGAGACATCAGACAACACAGTAAACACAACAGCACCAGACACCACAGCATGAGACATCAGACAACACAGTAGACACAACAGCACCAGACACCACAGCATGAGACATCAGACAACACAGTAGACACAACAGCACCAGACACCACAGCATGAGACATCAGACAACACAGTAAACACAACAGCACCAGACACCACAGCATGAGACATCAGACACCACAGTAGACACAACAGCACCAGACACCACAGCATGAGACATCAGACAACACAGTAGACACAACAGCACCAGACACCACAGCATGAGACATCAGACAACACAGTAGACACAACAGTACCAGACACCACAGCATGAGACATCAGACAACACAGCATGAGACATCAGACAACACAGTAGACACAACAGAACCAGACACCACAGCATGAGACATCAGACACCACAGCATGAGACATCAGACAACACAGTAAACACAACAGCACCAGACACCACAGCATGAGACATCAGACAACACAGTAGACACAACACAGCATGAGACCAGACACCACACAGCATGAGACATCAGACAACACAGTAGACACAACAGCACCAGACACCACAGCATGAGACATCAGACAACACAGTAGACACAACAGCACCAGACACCACAGCATGAGACATCAGACAACACAGTAGACACAACAGCACCAGACACCACAGCATGAGACATCAGACAACACAGCATGAGACATCAGACAACACAGTAGACACAACAGCACCAGACACCACAGCATGAGACATCAGACACCACAGCATGAGACATCAGACAACACAGTAGACACAACAGCACCAGAAATATAAGAATGCAACTCTGCACACCATGTCACTACCATATGCTTTCAAGGTTGTTCATACTGACATATTTAAAAGGTTCAGTTTTGAACAGTGAACGGTTGTCTTCGGTTTTAGAGAGCCGTTTGAACATAACAATGATGTAACATCGACAAATATGCTTTGTTACTTGATGACTGTTTCCATATCTGACTCACATATCCCAGCCAACCAGTCCAGCCCTTCCACTTACCGTAACACTTACGACCATTTTCCGACATCACAAGTCCAGTTCCTCGACACCGACACTTGTAGGAACCATATGTGTTCTTACATAAATCTTGACATGGGGAGCTTCGAATACACTCATTGATATCTGAAATAATACACAGTCATATCGGTATCTTGACATGGTAACTCGTATACACTCGCTGACATCTGAAGGCACTGCCCGGATCTATGTGTCACCCTTTATGGTCGTGTATTTCTGGACAGAGCACAAAATGCAAACATGCTCGCAAGCCCATGGATAACAAGATTTTGGTCAGGCTAATGATTCTCAAATGTCAAAAGCCAGACATACTACAGAATTGTAACAGTACTTGTATCAGTAAAAACTCTTTGAAAAAAAAATATATATAAAAAACCAGAAGAGTTTGATTCGCTGGGTGTACAGTAAAGCCCATGTATAACGTATGTGCTTCCTTCTGAGATTAAGTCTTGGATGGCGTTTAGGAGTGATACACACAAATTGGATCATTTGATGAAGGAGAACAGATGTACTCCGATACCTTGTGTTCTTTATAATGGAGAATGGGACATGCATATATTCCCCCACTTGCTGGAAACAACATAATATTGATAAAAGCAAAATAAAAACCTACTCACTCCTTCACTCACTCACTGACCCTGTAGAAATGATCAGGAAGTGAATGTAATCTGCTTAAGTTGTTACCTACCTACACATTTCTTTGTGTCATAGTGGTATTTTTCAAATCCAACTTTCCGACATTCACAGTTGAAGGAGCCGATAGTATTGATGCAGACGCGTCGCCACAGCCGTTGTCAGTGACACATTCATCCTCATCTGCAGAAAACACATCTGCTCATAAATCTTACTTTCTTTTTTTAACATGGATTTGGAATTTTGGAAACTCACACAAATAAAATTTCAAAATGAACAAAGAAAAAGAGTGTTTTTCACACTTTCAACAAGAAATACATGCAACGTTAAAACGTCTTGAAAACTAAAAGCAATAAAGGAACATTTTGAAAGTGCACTTTCAAGAATCTCTTACCACATTAAACAGCAAATCCATTATTTAGACATTTCTTTTTATGTCTTTCGCTCTTCTTCAAACTCCAATTTTATTTCCCCCTTACCTACCAGTAATTAAGAAGAAAAACAATTTAAAATTTAGAAAAGAATATACCCATTTTTTTACCTACCTACCTGAAATTTGGGGTAAAAAGTCTGTAACCTCCCCTCAACAACCCCCAAAAGAAAACCATGTGGACAATATGTGTGTGAGTCGTACCGATACATTCCTTGCCATCCTGTGTCACAATGTACCCAGCAGGGCATGTGCAGTGAGCTCCGCCGATGGTGTTGACGCACTGATGAGCGCAGCCAAAGTTATTGTCTTCACATTCATTGATGTCTGCAACATTAATTGTTGGTTTAGATATGCATATTGGGATGGATACATCATATGCCACATGAACATATTCGCTAACTAGAACTAGTACTTTCTGCAAGAAAGATAGAAGTATATTGGGAGAATTATATTAATCATTTCTACAAGCAGTCATGAGGATTACCCAACCATTGACTTCAGAGTGTTACACAGAAACAGAAGGGTTGGTTTGTGCGTATGGTATGTATGATGAAGTAAATGTACACATAATGTGAGTGAGTGAGTTTAGTTTTATGCCACACTCAGCAATATTCCAGCTATATGTCGGCGGTCTGTAAATAATCAAGTCTGGACCAGACAATCCAATGATAAACAGCATGAGCATCGATCTACCCAATTGGGATAAGATGACCAGGGCTCCAGATAACTTTTGGGGGTGCGAGTGTACTTACACATCATATTGCAAGTGGAGGTGTACTGAGAATTTTGAAGGAGTACTGACATGTTTTTGTGTGAGCGAGTTGATGTGGTTTGTCTGGACGATTCATCGATCACTATTTCCAACCATGTATTTGTATTTGAAGATGCGTGAGAAATAACTTAGCGACTGTGTGATGCGCGAAATGTCGGGTCAGACTTGATATAAATAGGAACAGTGTAGTTTTTAGCCAATCGAAAAATAGTGACGCATATCGTTGCATGGCAACGCAAGCGATTCCTACTGTCGGGGTTTCCTTATGTGTCAAATCGTGTTTCAAAAAAAAACTTAACAAGTATTTATCAAAATAGATTTCCATTTGCATGATCATGACGGAAATTAAATGTTAGGCGCATCTGAAGGTATTTATGTGCGTACACGATACGCTTGAAATCTTATATTGTGTCGTACTTAATTGATTTTGAGGCATACATTACGCCTGTACGCCCCTTATCTGTAGCCCTGGATGACATGTGTCAACCAAGTCAGCGAGCCTGACGACTCGATCCTGTTAGTTCCTTCTTATGACGAGCATAGGTTACTGAAGATCAAATGTGAATCTCACCTGTATGATGTAGTTAGTGTCAGACAAACACATGCATGAATCTCACCTATACATGTCCTGTGATGTGAGGTGGTGTAGTATCTGAGGTCACAGCCGCACTGGTAGCTGCCGATGGTGTTGACGCAGTTCTGGTCACAGCCATGGCTGGAGGTGGTACACTCATCAACGTCTGCAGTCATAGAACAGCAAGACACATCAACACTCAGTAACGCTGACGACAATATACTGACATACCCTGAAATGTTTTCAATCACTCACTAAATACAGACATACCCTGCATTGTTTTCACTTACTCACTAAATACAGACTGAAATATTTTCACTCACTGACTAAATACTGACATACATTGAAATATTTTCCCTCAGATAAAATACTGACATACCCTGAAAATTTTCACTCACTGACTAAATACAGACATACCCTGAAATATTTTCACTCACTCACTCACTAAATACAGACATACCCTGAAATATTTTCACTCACTGACTAAATACAGACATACCCTGAAATATTTTCACTCACTGACTAAATATAGACATACCCTGAAATATTTTCACTCACTGACTAAATATAGACATACCCTGAAATATTTTCACTCACTGACTAAATATAGACATACCCTGAAATATTTTCACTCACTGACTAAATACTGACCTTGAGAGGTCTTCTCTCACTCACTCACTTACTCACTCACCCTGACACGTCTTCCCCTGTCTGGGGTAAGTCTGTGTTAATACAAACATGGCTACAACCTCGGGCGCATTCCGTCAAAGTCTGAAAACAGGTACAGTAGGCACTTCCGTCTGTGTTAATCGACCACAGAACAAAACATGGCTACAACCAAGGTGCATTCTCTTGAGGTTACTGTCGGCTTTCATTGAGCGCTCAAAGTCTGAAAAAAGCAATCAGCCAGTTCATCATCAATGCACTGCAGCTTAAAATGATTCGTAGTCACAGCAATACATGTTTTCCCTGAACTCCCAACAAGCTAGAAGTTGTACAACTGACATTTTCCACCATCTAAGATCCAAACAGAACAACAACAAAGTCAACAGTCAGTCCAGTGCTAGCAACAACATAAGGGTGTGGTATCCCACTGACAACAGCCTTCAGCATAAACAGTCATTGTGTTGGCCTGGAACGGTGTTTTCATTACATGCCAAATCAGAAACAGCCCCACCCCCACTGTTCCCTGAATGTCCATTATTGTAACTTCAAGCTACTCCATAACAAAGTCATAAGCACTTTAATTGCATCACTTCGAACACAGACCGCCTCCGTGGTGTAGTGGTTAGAGCGTCCGCCCGGAGAGCGGAAGGTCGCGGGTTCGATCCCCGACCGCGTCATACCAAAAGATGTTAAAATATGGTACTTGTTGGTCCCTGCCTGGCGCTCGGCATTAATGGGTACAACAAGGACTGGTCGGCTCGGAGTCAGTATAATGTGTCTGAGTGGGGTATTCATGCTTCACTGCGGCATGGTATCTCAGTGGGCTAGCACTATAAAATCAGCTTCAGTCTGGGCTAGTACAAGCAGCCGCACATACACATACACACGCATGCACGTCGTCATATGAGCGAAATATTCTCAAGCACGACGTTAAACCCAATTTCACCTCACCTCACTTCGAAAACACATGCCCAACACAATGCACTTTTGAGAGTCCTATGCCTCTGACTCTCTTCACAACAAATTAATGAGCAGTTTCGGTTTGGAAAAGCACATGAATAACCAAAACAACCATAAAACAGCAACGTCCTACAGCTGTTACTACCTTAAACAGATAGGTGTATGCTCTTCCGGTTGAATTGCATCAGATATGGTTGAAATATATACATGCCACATGGCGTGAAAGTGGAAGTCACATGCTTATGACTACCTTAGTCAGAGAGTCATACACACTCCTCTTACAATGACCTTGACCTTTGATATTCAGCCAATCACATGATTGATTATTACTGGTTTAAACATGAATGCTGATACATACATCACATACAAACACATAGCACAGAACACTAAGATGCTGAAGCATCTCATGCATAACCATTTCAATGACCTTGACCTTTGTGAAGGTCAGTCAAATGCATACGTATTTACTGCCCCACCCTAATGATGATACATACCATATTTCATGCTACTCCAGCTAACATTTGCTTTTATTTGTAAGCCTTAAGAGTGAATTCGATCTTCAGTATCAGAGACAAATATCCCATAAACATTCCATAGGTTTATCCAGTATAAAACAAAATTAGATGACATTTTGCAACAGATATTTATACCGTAAGATATAGCAACATAACAGAATACAAAAGTTGTCATCCACATCAATATTTTGCCTGTTGCAATAAACTACCATATCACAACACTGACCTTCACATTCCGATACATACTCCCCAGTAATACCCATGCAGCCTTCTGGATATGCTTACCTGTGCAGGTGATTTTGTTGCTGGGGTCTCCAACGTATCCGGTGCGGCATTGACAACTAGCGAGGGAGGTGCTGGCAATGCCCTCGGTGGAGGAGTGAGGCGGACAACGCTGACATCCAACATCTGACTTGTCTCGATAGTATCCCCTGGTGCAGGCTGCAACAAACACCAGGGTTACAGTACATCAAACACCAGGGTTACAGTACATCAAACACCATGGTCACAGCATCAAACACCATGGTTACAGTACATCAAACACCATGGTTACAGCATCAAACACCATGGTTACAGTACATCAAACACCATGGTTACAGCATCAAACATCACGGTTACAGTACATCAAACACCACTGTTACACTACATCAAACACCACGGTCACAGCATCAAACACCAGGGTTACAGTACATCAAACACCACGGTTACAGTACATCAAACACCATGGTCACAGCATCAAACACCAGGGTTACAGTACATCAAACACCATGGTTACAGTACATCAAACACCATGGTTACAGTACATCAAACACCATGGTTACAGTACATCAAACACCATGGTTACACATCATCAAACACCATGGTTACATAGTACATCAAATCAAACACCATGGTTACAGCATCAAACACCATAGTTACAGTACATCAAACACCATGGTCTCATCATCAAAGACCATGGTCACATCATCAAAGACCATGGTTACAGCATCAAATATGGCTACATCAAACACCATGGTTACAGTCTACACGCTCTATAGATTGCAGGTCCTCAACACGCATGTGGCCCTCAGGACATAATACTCACCAGCACACTTGGTTGCCCCTGCCTTTCGGTAACCAGCGAAACACGCACAGCGGTAGGTGCCGGGCAGGTTTTCACAGCCTTGCTGACACAGGTTTTTGGTTGTATTCAGTTGGCACTCGTCAACATCTGAAACAAGCCAACATAGAGGACCCCCATGGCGGTATTCTTATACAACATTGGGGTGAAACGGTATACCGAGGTATTTTGCCTTCGGTTCAGTATACCGTAATGCAATCCAAAACTTTCAGTTTTCATACCGTCATGTTATTAACTTTTTTAAACCTTACCTGAAATGTCTACAAATCAAATTATTTTGTCAAAATCTATGGACTTCTTTGCTAGACAGATGCTATTTTACTGGAAGTAAGTTCTAATATACCAAACAGAAACGGACCGAACCAAAGCCCTTGTACCGCAATACGTACCGTACCATGGTAAGAACGAACCATTCCACCCCAAATAAAACAGTCAACATGTACCTTTAACACCTACAAGTTCAGCAGAGTTCAGAGCTATGTAAGTTGCCTTATAATTATCAATAAACACACACGCACTCCGCACACGCGACGCATCGCGCCTATCAACAGCACACACACAAACACACCCACATACTAACATTTGTATAGCGCCGATATCAGGTGCTTTGTTTTCCCCTCGATCACTTGATGTCAATCTCAACGGCACATCGTATTATCAATCTCAACTCCCTGGGGAGCATACAACTCTTGCAGCCACTAGGCGCACCGAGTTATTGTGGCTTTCCCATCCTTACCTGGACCCATTCACAGTGGGGTGGACTGGGACACATAGTCACAGTACTCTGTCCAAGTTTACTGCATGTTGCCGCAACTAGGCAACTAGGTGTTTGCACGTATTCATGTGGCCACCATCTGGTCATATACCAACAGATTCATGGGTTCTTTTAAGTGCACAGAGTTGTGTACTGTACACTAGAGGTTGTGACAACACTGAAGGTGTCTGCACACAAAGTTGACTCCAAGGCTTTTACACCCAGTCACAGGTGGGCTCGATCCAGTCACCGCTGGATCACTAGCCTGGCGTTTTAGCCAGTTCGCCCACCACGTCCCAGACCAGGGGGATAATTAATGTCAGAAAAAGATCCAGGCTCAAAAGTTTAATTTCAGAATAATTTTATGAAATGTTGTATCAGTAGAGTGTTTAAAAGCCTACCAAGTACCTACCGATACAAGCAGCGCCATCATCTGCAGAGGCGTAACCTTGGGTGTTACACACGCACTTGAAGGATCCGAAAGTGTTGATACAGCCCTCCTGACAGATGCTCTCCCCCTCCATACACTCATTCACATCTGGAACAGAAGGGAGGGAGGCAGTGAGTGGGTTGTACTCATAAAATGAAACCACAATCAGTTAGCCTAATAATCCAGATTTTCAGTTCCTTATTTCTAGTCAGCATCAAGTGTCACTGATGTAGATTTTTTAAACACTAACATTTACAGAACATCATTAAATCATTGTAAATCATTAAATGAACCTGTCACAATACGAAAGCAAGTGACAACCCATAGCCGAAAATGCTTGATGAATGTATTGTGAAGTTCCACGTGTTTTTAAAATGATTTTTCTAACGCACAATCTTTTAAAATTAAATGAGCAGTGTCATATATGAGTGAGTGAGTGAGTGAGTGAGTGAGTGAGTGAGGGTGTGAGTGAGTGGTGAGGAGTGAGGTGGGTGAGTGAGAGGAGTGAGTGAGTGAGTGAGTGAGTTTTCAGCAATATTCAAGCAATCACAGTAGGGGTTCTCACATGGTACCTATGTGTGGAATGGAACCTGAGCCTTTGGCATGGTGAGCAAATGCTTAAACCACATGGCTAGCCCACTATCACCCAGTCAATTCAGATATTAACATCACTTTCGATAAACGAGGAAGCATAATGCTCATTTTTCCCGCTACAAGGATTCAAAAGAAATTCATGCTTTTACAGACGCTGCTCCAGTACAACTCACCTATACAGGAGGTTTTGTTCCAAGACAGTTTGTATCCCTTGCGACATCCACACTCATAGGATGCAAAGGAATTAATACAGATCTGGTCGCATGGCGGCTCATAGGCTTCACATTCATCCAGATCTGCCATAGAGAAACATGAAACATGACAGAAACAGAAAGTCATGACCAAAGATGTAAATGTTGTCAATAACAGATATAAAATGGAGGGGTTAGTCGTGTTAGGTTTATACGAGGTTGCATGGACAGTGCACAGACCACAAGTCAAGCAATGAAATTAGTTGGCAGCTTCATCAACAAAAAATGAAAATAAATCAAACTAAAGAGATGAATTGTAATTGTTTAAAACAAGGAAACAACTCATAATTTTTCTGTTTTACCCATGAATTTCACCTTAAACATTTCAAAAATTAACATTTTAAATCTCATAATTTTATTCAACTTAGGATAAAAAATTTTTTGTTAGAACAAACGATCATAGTTTCAAATCCGTATTATTGGTTTGTATTACAAGGGGTATGCACATTAAATGAAACACCGGGAACAAGGAGGGTTGGTCTAAGTTAACGCTCATTACATCACGTACTGCAAGTGCATTTGTTTCACTGTTCCAACTACTGCGCTTACCCCCTTGTAATACAAACCAATATAAGCGATTTGAAACAATGATCGTTTGTTAAACAACTTTTTTCCTAAGTTGAATAAAAATCTAAGATTTAAATTTTCAATTGGCAAGGTAGAATTATGAGGATTCGCAATCTTAATTTCACTGTATTCGATTTACATTTTTGTTTAAAGTGAAATTCACCGGTACGTTTTCACCGCAAACCGACTATAGGACATTATATTGTTTTACCATGAGGGTACACCACCCATACTTTAGCAAAGGTTAAATGATGTGTTTCACAAGGAATACTCATAGTTTTTAAGGTTTTTTCTTGCATTATTGTAACTTGAATTCTTCATTACAAAAAATGTGAGTAAAAATCACTATTATTCTGTTTCTTACCAATTTTGCCTATTGCTGCTTTAGAAAATCAACAAAACAAGAAACACCTTCACCCTACATGTCTTACCTACACATGTCCTGAGGTCAAGGTCAAGCCGGTAGCCATCCGGACACACACACACCACACTGCCCTCAATGTTCTCACATCCATGGGAGCAGTAGAGAGGGTCCTCACACTCGTTGATGTCTGAAACACACCAGGTAAGCTGTAGGGTCAAATATTTCTGACAAACCACAATAAATAGTCACCTCAAATAGTCACAATAGACTTGTAGCCATCTCCATCACACTCACACCTGTAGACAGTCTTACCTTGACAGGTGTGTTGGTCCTCCAACATGATGTAGCCATCTCCGTCACACTCACACCTGTAGATACAGTCTTACCTTGACAGGTGTGTTGGTCCTCCAACATGATGTAGCCATCTCCGTCACACTCACACCTGTAGATACAGCCTTACCTTGACAGGTGTGTTGGTCCTCCAACATGATGTAGCCATCTCCTCACACACTCACACCTGTAGATACAGTCTTACCTTGACAGGTGTGTTGGTCCTCCAACATGATGTAGCCATCTCCTCACACACTCACACCTGTAGATACAGTCTTTACCTTGACAGGTGTGTTGGTCCTCCAACATGATGTAGCCATCTCCGTCACACTCACACCTGTAGATACAGTCTTACCTTGACAGGTGTGTTGGTCCTCCAACATGATGTAGCCATCTCCGTCACACTCACACCTGTAGATACAGTCTTACCTTGACAGGTGTGTTGGTCCTCCAACATGATGTAGCCATCTCCGTCACACTCACACCTGTAGATACAGCCTTACCTTGACAGGTGTGTTGGTCCTCCAACATGATGTAGCCATCTCCTCACACACTCACACCTGTAGATACAGTCTTACCTTGACAGGTGTGTTGGTCCTCCAACATGATGTAGCCATCTCCGTCACACTCACACCTGTAGATACAGTCTTACCTTGACAGGTGTGTTGGTCCTCCAACATGATGTAGCCATCTCCGTCACACTCACACCTGTAGACAGTCTTACCTTGACAGGTGTGTTGGTCCTCCAACATGATGTAGCCATCTCCGTCACACTCACACCTGTAGATACAGTCTTACCTTGACAGGTGTGTTGGTCCTCCAACATGATGTAGCCATCTCCGTCACACTCACACCTGTAGATACAGTCTTACCTTGACAGGTGTGTTGGTCCTCCAACATGATGCTTGACAGCCCCTCTCCGCACACACTCACACCTGTAGATACAGTCTTACCTTGACAGGTGTGTTGGTCCTCCAACATGATGTAGCCATCTCCGTCACACTCACACCTGTAGACAGTCTTACCTTGACAGGTGTGTTGGTCCTCCAACATGATGTAGCCATCTCCATCACACTCACACCTGTAGATACAGTCTTACCTTTGACAGGTGTGTTGGTCCTCCAACATGATGTGGCCATCTCCGTCACACTCACACCTGTAGATACATCCTTACCTTGACAGGTGTGTTGGTCCTCCAACATGATGTGGCCATCTCCATCACACTCACACCTGTAGACAGTCTTACCTTGACAGGTGTGTTGGTCCTCCAACATGATGTAGCCATCTCCTCCGCCACACTCACACCTGTAGATACATCCTTACCTTGACAGGTGTGTTGGTCCTCCAACATGATGTAGCCATCTCCATCACACTCACACCTGTAGATACAGTCTTACCTTGACAGGTGTGTTGGTCCTCCAACATGATGCAGCCATCTCCTCGGCCACACTCACACCTGTAGATACAGCCTTACCTTGACAGGTGTGTTGGTCCTCCAACATGATGTAGCCATCTCCATCACACTCACACCTGCAGATACAGTCTTACCTTTGACAGGTGTGTTGGTCCTCCAACATGATGCAGCCATCTCAGTCACACTCACACCTGTAGATACAGCCTTACCTTGAAAGGTGTGTTGGTCCTCCAACATGATGTAGCCATCTCCATCACACTCACACCTGCAGATACAGTCTTACCTTGACAGGTGTGTTGGTCCTCCAACAAGATGCAGCCATCTCCGTCACACTCACACCTGTAGATACAGTTTTACCTTGACAGGTGTGTTGGTCCTCCAACATGATGTAGCCATCTCCGTCACACTCACACCTGTAGATACAGTCTTACCTTGACAGGTGTGTTGGTCCTCCAACATGATGTAGCCATCTCCGTCACACTCACACCTGTAGATACAGCCTTACCTTGACAGGTGTGTTGGTCCTCCAACATGATGTAGCCATCTCCATCACACTCACACCTGTAGACAGTCTTACCTTGACAGGTGTGTTGGTCCTCCAACATGATGCAGCCATCTCCATCACACTCACACCTGCAGATACAGTCTTACCTTGACAGGTGTGTTGGTCCTCCAACATGATGTAGCCCTCTCCGTCACACTCACACCTGTAGATACAGTCTTACCTTGACAGGTGTGTTGGTCCTCCAACATGATGTAGCCATCTCCGTCCACACTCACACCTGTAGACAGTCTTACCTTGACAGGTGTGTTGGTCCTCCAACATGATGCAGCCATCTCACACACTCACACCTGTAGATACAGTCTTACCTTGACAGGTGTGTTGGTCCTCCAACATGATGTAGCCATCTCCATCACACTCACACCTGTAGATACAGTCTTACCTTGACAGGTGTGTTGGTCCTCCAACATGATGTAGCCCTCTCCGTCACACTCACACCTGTAGATACAGTCTTACCTTGACAGGTGTGTTGGTCCTCCAACATGATGTAGCCATCTCCGTCACACTCACACCTGTAGACAGTCTTACCTTGACAGGTGTGTTGGTCCTCCAACATGATGTGGCCATCTCCATCACACTCACACCTGTAGACAGTCCTACCTTGACAGGTGTGTTGGTCCTCCAACATGATGTGGCCATCTCCGTCACACTCACACCTGTAGATACATCCTTACCTTGACAGGTGTGTTGGTCCTCCAACATGATGTGGCCATCTCCATCACACTCACACCTGTAGACAGTCTTACCTTGACAGGTGTGTTGGTCCTCCAACATGATGTGGCCATCTCCGTCACACTCACACCTGTAGATACATCCTTACCTTGACAGGTGTGTTGGTCCTCCAACATGATGTAGCCATCTCCATCACACTCACACCTGTAGACAGTCTTACCTTGACAGGTGTGTTGGTCCTCCAACATGATGCAGCCATCTCCGTCACACTCACACCTGTAGATACAGCCTTACCTTGACAGGTGTGTTGGTCCTCCAACATGATGTAGCCCTCTCCATCACACTCACACCTGCAGATACAGTCTTACCTTGACAGGTGTGTTGGTCCTCCAACATGATGCAGCCATCTCAGTCACACTCACACCTGTAGATACAGCCTTACCTTGAAAGGTGTGTTGGTCCTCCAACATGATGTAGCCATCTCCATCACACTCACACCTGCTGATACAGTCTTACCTTGACAGGTGTGTTGGTCCTCCAACAAGATGCAGCCATCTCCGTCACACTCACACCTGTAGATACAGTTTTACCTTGACAGGTGTGTTGGTCCTCCAACATGATGTAGCCCTCTCAATCACACTCACACCTGCAGATACAGTCTTACCTTGACAGGTGTGTTGGTCCTCCAACATGATGCAGCCATCTCAGTCACACTCACACCTGTAGATACAGCCTTACCTTGACAGGTGTGTTGGTCCTCCAACATGATGCAGCCATCTCCATCACACTCACACCTGTAGACAGTCTTACCTTGACAGGTGTGTTGGTCCTCCAACATGATGCAGCCATCTCCATCACACTCACACCTGTAGATACAGTCTTACCTTGACAGGTGTGTTGGTCCTCCAACATGATGTAGCCATCTCCATCACACTCACACCTGTAGATACAGTCTTACCTTGACAGGTGTGTTGGTCCTCCAACATGATGCAGCCATCTCCATCACACTCACACCTGTAGATACAGTCTTACCTTGACAGGTGTGTTGGTCCTCCAACATGATGCAGCCATCTCCATCACACTCACACCTGTAGATAAAGTCTTACCTTTAACAGGTGTGTTGGTCCTCCAACATGATGTAGCCATCTCCATCACACTCACACCTGTAGATACAGTCTTACCTTGACAGGTGTGTTGGTCCTCCAACATGATGCAGCCATCTCCATCACACTCACACCTGTAGATACAGTCTTACCTTGACAGGTGTGTTGGTCCTCCAACATGATGCAGCCATCTCCATCACACTCACACCTGTAGATACAGTCTTACCTTGACAGGTGTGTTGGTCCTCCAACATGATGTAGCCATCTCCATCACACTCACACCTGTAGATACAGTCTTACCTTGACAGGTGTGTTGGTCCTCCAACATGATGTGGCCATCTCCGTCACACTCACACCTGTAGATACAGTCTTACCTTGACAGGTGTGTTGGTCCTCAAACATGATGTCGCCTCTCTCCGTCACACTCACACCTGTAGATACAGTCTTACCTTGACAGGTGTGTTGGTCCTCCAACATGATGTAGCCATCTCCATCACACTCACACCTGTAGATACAGTCTTACCTTGACAGGTGTGTTGGTCCTCCAACATGATGCAGCCATCTCCATCACACTCACACCTGTAGATACAGTCTTACCTTGACAGGTGTGTTGGTCCTCCAACATGATGTAGCCATCTCCATCACACTCACACCTGTAGATAAAGTCTTACATTGACAGGTGTGTTGGTCCTCCAACATGATGTAGCCATCACCATCACACTCACACCTGTAGATACAGTCTTACCTTGACAGGTGTGTTGGTCCTCCAACATGATGCAGCCATCTCCATCACACTCACACCTGTAGATACAGTCTTACCTTGACAGGTGTGTTGGTCCTCCAACATGATGCAGCCATCTCCATCACACTCACACCTGTAGATACAGCCTTACCTTGACAGGTGTGTTGGTCCTCCAACATGATGTAGCCATTTCCATCACACTCACACCTGTAGATACAGTCTTACCTTGACAGGTGTGTTGGTCCTCCAACATGATGTGGCCATCTCCATCACACTCACACCTGTAGATACAGTCTTACCTTGACAGGTGTGTTGGTCCTCAAACCGGATGTCGCCATCTCCATCACACTCACACCTGTAGATACAGTCTTACCTTGACAGGTGTGTTGGTCCTCCAACATGATGTAGCCATCTCCATCACACTCACACCTGTAGACACAGCCTTACCTTGACAGGTGTGTTGGTCCTCCAACATGATGTAGCCATCTCCGTCACACTCAACCTGCAGATACAGTCTTACCTTGACAGGTGTGTTGGTCCTCCAACATGATGTAGCCCTCTCCGTCACACTCACACCTGTAGACACAGTCTTACCTTGACAGGTGTGTTGGTCCTCCAACATGATGTAGCCATCTCCATCACACTCACACCTGTAGACAGTCTTACCTTGACAGGTGTGTTGGTCCTCCAACATGATGTAGCCCTCTCCGTCACACTCACACCTGTAGATACAGCCTTACCTTGACAGGTGTGTTGGTCCTCCAACATGATGTGGCCATCTCCATCACACTCACACCTGTAGACAGTCTTACCTTGACAGGTGTGTTGGTCCTCCAACATGATGTAGCCATCTCCATCACATTCGCAGAAGTGGGAGCCATCCGTGTTGATGCAGATGTGGTTGCAGCCTCCCTGGTTCACCGCACATTCATTAATATCTACAGAAAACGAGACACATATCAATAATCCCAAAGTATTTAAAGAACACCCTGTATTTTTACATGACTTTTAATTGCAACTACTCTCAGCACTCTGAGTAGGCTGGTCTGGGAGTTCTGTAGTATTTGAGTGAGTGAGTGAGTGAGAGTGAGTATGGTTTTACGCCTCTTTTAGCAATATGCCAGCAATATCATGGAGGGGGACACCAGAAATGGGCTTCACAAATTGTACCCATGTGGGGAATCGAACCCGGGTCTTCGGCGTGATGAGCGAACACTTTAACCACTAAGCTTCCCCACCGTCCCCTTTTGTGTTTGAAGCTTAGGTAGTATACTGAAATTTCTAGTCTGGGAGTTAGATAATACTCAAGGATGTGAACACTGGGACATGGCTAATACACGTGTCTGGGAAGTACTCACAGAGGACTTTAAGACTTGAAAAATAACATTATTTCTTATTATTTGACTCAGCAGAACAGAAATGACTTCACAAATCATAATCTCATGTCATATTTAAGCAAACCTTGGTCACATCTGCAAAGAAGCAACTAAAACTCTCTATGTCCATACATACCGACACAGTTGACTTTGTCTGCCTCTGATGTGTATCCCTGGGGGCACTCACACTGGGCGCTACCTGGCTGGTTGATACAGCCATATTCACACTCAATCTCCCCTAGTTCACACTCATCACGGTCTGCAATACAACACAGCATAGGTCAAAGTGAGTGAGTATGCTTTTACGCCACTTTTAGCAATATTCCACTAATATCTCAACTGGGGAGACCAGAAATGGGCTTCACACACTGCACCCATGTAGGGAATCAAACCCAGGACATACACATGACGAGCAAATGCTTTAACCACTAGGCTACCCTATAGTGAAACAGATTCTACAGGCTGGCCTTCTGTGTCCTATATAAAGCCACAAAGTAATGTTAATTATTTGGGGTAGACTGGTCATGTAATCTATGATGGGGTACGGGGTAGTCATGGGACTGTATCGTACCCTGCAGACTCCTCATGTAATCTAGGGGTGGGGTAATCTATGATGGGGTACGGGGTAGTCATGGGACTGTATCGTACCCTGCAGACTCCTCATCCCCATCTTCTGCAGCATCATCATAGCCCCCTCATTCACATTACATAATGTTCAAATTCTAACTTATCTATCTGAAAAAACAGGACTGTCAATTTTTCACTGTCCCCCTCTCCCTGAGTTGTGATAAATTTTGGTGACATCGACCCCCTCTTTCTATGTACCATGTTTTCATGGCCACACCCCACAACCCTCCTGAATCTCACCATCCAACTCTCAAATACTGAATGTGAATATTTTTATCAACATTCTCTTTGTTTTGGGGTATGGTATCGGTACAATAAGATTTGTTACATTAAATTTTGAATATTAATTTTAAGTATGATGTAGCAAGCACCTGCTTGTTTGTGACATACCTACACAATGTATGTTGTATCGGGGATCCCCATCAAACCCTGGCAGACATTCGCAGTCTGTGTAAGACTGGGCATATTGCGACTGCAGTTGCGATGAGACGATGGAGTTGGCTGGACATTGGTGACACTTTCCATCTGCCCGACTGTAGTACTCGTTTTGCTCGCACCCTGAAACAAGCAAAACATCACTCAGACACAAATATATAACATTATCACATTTTTTCATTCTTTTTTTATTCTTCTATTTTGTGTTCATTTTTTGTACAAGGAGACATTGTCATGATTATATTCTTTCAAACTGAGTATAAATCTCGCGTGTCTCTTCCTTGATGAAGTCTGAAGACTGAGCATCGATCTACACAATTTGGATACATCATGATTCATGCATCACTGATGTTGTTGTTGGTTGGTGTTTTAACGCCGGACTCAGCAGAATTTCAGCTATATGGCGGTGGTCTGTAAATAATCGACTCTTGACCAGACAATCCAGTGATTAACAGCATGAACATTGATCTACATAGTTGGGATACAATGACATGTGTCAACCAAGTCAGCGAGCCTGACCACCTGATCCCGCTGTTAGTCGCCTCTTATGACAAGCATGGGTTGCTGAAGATCAATTCTGACCAAAATCTCATAAGGAACAAACAACATTTTAAAGAACAAGCATGGTTTCCTAAGATAAATTGTGACCCAAACCTCACAGGCAATAAGCAACAGTTGCTGAAGATCAATTCTGGCCTGGAGCTTCACAAGTAACCAGCAACAGTTGGTAAAGGCTACACTCTTGTTCAGACATTTATGAGACTGAAGAGTTACCTCCCTTGACATTAACTATTGCGGGTGTTTTCCATGAGCAACGATTCATGATTGAGTGAGTGAGTGAGTTTAGTTTTACACCACACTCAGCAATATTCCAACTATATGGCGGCGGACTGTAAATAATCGAGTCTGGACCAGACAATCCAGTGATGAACAGCATGAGCATTGATCTGCGCAATTGGGACACGATGACAAGCATGGGTTGTTGAAGATCAATTCTGACCCGGATCTTCACGGGTCACATGATTGAGGGTACATACATACATACATACTAACATTTGTATAGCACCGATATACAGCTCAGCTCAGCTGCTCAAAGGGTACATTGACACACAAATATCTTAAACATCCAAGTCACAACCAAATCCATTTAGTCGCCTCTTACAACTGCATCTGATGCTGAGGACCTACTCCAACAAAGAATACCCAAAGGAGTAAAAGTACAATTTTGTAGACTTGATTTAAATCCTTTCTAATATAGAACTGTCCTGTGTATTTCCTACTTTGAAATCCTGATATAATGAGACAAAAAGGTGAGAAATGAATAGGTTATAATTGGTAATTTTAAAAAATGTACTTTTACCTGTGCAGGTAATGTTGTCCTTGGCAACCACCAAGCCATCTTGCAAGCACTCACAACTGTAGTATCCTGGCAAGTTGAAACACTGGTCCTCACACTGATCTGCCTCGATCGCGCACTCGTCAATATCTGTCACCAACATATATATCATTTACCAGATGGCACACTCGTCAATATCTGTCTCCAACATATATATCATTTACCAGATGGCACACTCGTCAATATCTGTCTCCAACATATATATCATTTACCAGATGGCACACTCGTCAATATCTGTCTCCAACATATATAACATTTACTGGATGGCACACTCGTCAATATCTGTCTCCAACATATATATCATTTACCAGATGGCACACTCGTCAATATCTGTCTCCAACATATATAACATTTACTGGATGGCACACTTGTCAATATCTATCTCCAACATATATATCATTTACCGGATGGCACACTCGTCAATATCTGTCTCCAACATATATATCATTTACTGGATGGCCCACTCGTCAATATCTGTCTCCAACATATATATCATTTACTGGATGGCACACTCGTCAATATCTGTCTCCAACATATATATCATTTACTGGATGTCACCAACATACATCATTTACTGGATGGTCAATATCTGTCTCCAACATATACATCATTTACCGGATGGCCCACTCGTCAATATCTGTCTCCAACATATACATCATCTACTGGATGGCACACTCGTCAATATCTGTCTCCAACATATACATCATCTACTGGATGGCATACTCATCATTACCTCTCATTAACATATATATACCTTTACTGGATGGCACACTCATGAATACCTCTCATCAACATATATATCATTTACTGGATGACATACTTGTCAATATCTGTCACCAACATATATATCATTTACTGGATGACACACTCGTCAATATCTGTCACCAACATATATATCATTTACTGGATGGCACACTCATCAATATATGTCACCATCATATATATCATTTACTGGATGACACACTTGTCAATATCTGTCACCAACATATATATCATTTACTGGATGGCACACTCGTCAATATCTGTCACCAACATATATATCATTTACTGGATGGCACACTTGTCAGTATCTGTCACCAACATATATATCATTTACTGGATGGCACACTTGTCAGTATCTGTCACCAACATATATATCATTTACTGGATGGCACACTCGTCAATATCTGCTATCAATACTATTTACTTGATGTTTATCAATCACTCAGTATATGTCAATATCTTTGAAAACCTTATCTAATCAGATAATTTCATGAGGAAGTGTATTATTGCTAAGACCATGCTTGTTTTAAGTAAACAGATATGCATTAGTCAATATAACTATCAGCCCAAGTTTTCCCTAGAGCCAAATGAGTCAGAGGAAAATGAATAATCTTAAGAAATCTACATCGAAATCATTTCTTTTGAATTCCACAAGTATAAGTGTCATGTATTTCCGATGTTGGGGGTGGATGGTCCTGGATTCCAACAGACAACAATAGGTCCGCCATACGTTTTTAATCCGCCATGATCTTATTACATCATCACACACGCCTTGCTGACGTCACTTGCCTGCGTCTAGTATTGATGACATAATGATTCAAGAAACAAAAAAACAAAACCAACAACTACATATTCCACCTTCTGACCTAGATAAGTGATAACTAACTGTTTTATCAGTCAGTTTGTATAGTGGGTAAAATAAATCCCATGAATAATACTGTTTTTACAGTAACATACTTGTACGTTTAGAAAAAAAGGCTATCAAGAAAATGACAGCATTGTTATGTTTGAAAACAAAGAAATAATATATCTTTCTTTCATCAAACACACCTTCTCTATAACCATAATTATCTGGTATTTGATAATAAATGAAGGCATATATCTATGATTCCAAACTAAATTAGGTTCCTAGTAGCAGACAAATTTGGAAAAGGCAATTTTATTTAACATTGGGATTTTCTCAAAAGCTCTTATTTTCTTAAATTCAGAGTAGTCATTCAATGCAAAATTGCAAAACTAATAAAATTGTTTTCCGTCCTGTCATCAGTGAATCGAAAGTCACCTCTGCAAAGCAGAATTATTCTAAGATTGCATAAGAAAGATTACATAACCAAAAATAATTCCATCTGAAGAAAGTTTATGGACAATTGCATCAGTATTAATTATTTTTGGCCAAATCCATGAACTGAAAAACAAAGTGTCACAATAAAATTGGAAGCTGATTGTGGAGATTCCCTGATTAAATCCACTGGCAATGAACGTACCGTCACAGGTGAAGCCGTCTTCCCCCAGAAGGAAACCATCCGTGTCACAGTAACAGTTAAAGTAGCCGAACTGATTCTCGCACCGGTCATTGCAACCACCATTGTTGTTAAGGCACTCATTTGTATCTGAGGAAATAGACGTGAGGCACACAGTGACTCAGTAGTATGGTTTTATGCCACTTTTAGCAATATTCTAGCAACATCACAATCATGTAATAGCAGAAATGGCCCTCAGAGTCAGACATTCTACTAAGTACCCAATGAGAATTGAACCTGGACCTTTAGCATATTGAAGAAACGCTTCATCCACCAAGCTAATCCCCCGCCCCAGAACATAATGACTTACGTGATTGAATGACTCTAATCTCTGCACTGAGCAGAATGACAGACGATCTTTTCTATATGCAAAGTTCGAATCTGAACCAGACAAACCAATGACTTAGAGCAAGGAAACTGCTTCACTGAGATATGATAATCGCAGATACATCCTTACAGTCCCATAGGGGACTATCTCAGTGTACAACATCCACTCTCTGTGACATTATTCTTTACAGGCAAAACACTTTTTAAATAGACTTGAGAGTCGCGGCGAAGGTCAAGGTTGAGTTACGTCCCTTTGCTTGCCTGTCGCTACATTAGATCTAGTACTGAAATACTGTCTCAGACCTACTGGTGTCACTGTGCACATGTACAGCCTTATAGTCCCATAGTGGACTATCTCAGTGTACGACATCCACTCTGTTTGATAATGACAGTATTCTTTATTACATATTCCAGCAAAATACTTTAAGTATCCGGCCTGAAATATTGTCTTAGCTCTAGATCTACTGGTGTCACTGTACAAATGTACGACAATGTACACATTGGCAAGACTAGTAAATTAATACATTAGCAAATGAAATATATAAACATAAAATAAAACTATAATTTATACCTAATTCTGACAAATCAACGCGTAAAAAATCAAAACAACCAAACAGAATTTGACCCAGCCTCGTAACGCTGTATACCAAGGGAGATCACTCTATTAGTTTTGTTGTGACCTTTGATAGACTGTCGGTAGCGCACATTTATTTCCTTTCACATAACACCGTTTGATATTCTGTGGAATTTGTAGCTGTACATAAACATAATATGACCCATCTGATATATCAATATATAATATAGATATGTCATCCTTTGAGGTAACATATAAATACATATTTTGAACAGCTACGTATTTACGCGTGGTAACCGTTCAATGTGCAGTTTCCGAAAGAACAGCGTACTACCAAGTTTAAAAAGCCGTTCCCTCTCGTCACAGATACGGAGGTATTACATGTACACACATCCGGATCAATTAATAAACTCTAAACTCTGAAAAAATATTGCACATCTGGACCAGTATTGACAGGGCTTTTATGCACCTACTTACCTTCACAGGTGGTTCCGTCCGGACCGGGTTCGAACCCGATCTCGCATTCACAGCGGAAGGAGCCGTCCAGGTTGACACAGTAGCCGTGACGACACAGCTTCTCACCGTAACGCTCACACTCGTTGAAATCTAACTTGACGAACGAATAAAAAGGAAGAAAACGAAATTCCGTTTAGCCGTTGCATTGTGCGTGGAACTACAAAGGCTATGTCTTCAATATACTCACTAACTCACACTTTAGGGTAGTTGCGTTCATTAGCTGCCCGGAACCTTTGATCATGGGTTCGACTCCGGGTTGGCCCAGATTATATTTCAATGTTATCACCAAACCTATACTCGTAATTCAATACCCACAGAGGACATGGGGGGACGTGGGAAGGTATGACTTGAGTAACCTCTGTGGGAAGAGAGTGAGGCTTGTGGGTTGCACCAAGGTTTAAACGTCTAAACTTTGCACCGCATCGGGCAACTCTTGCTTGATAACGGTATAAGAAGCTATACCGAAACGTCGCATCATAATAAAAATAAAGAAGTTGTTATCCATAAAGTACTATACTTTTCTTACGTTTAACTTACACACAAAAACGTATGTGGAATGGGATTATAAATAAGATCAGGGGTCACTCACTCACTCACACTCACTCACTCTCTCCTTGTCACTCAGTTACATATTCACTCACTCACGTATTATGTTAAATACCGATTCACTCAACCGATCACGGACTCACTCACCGAAGCACCAAGTCAATGTGCGCGCGCACGTACTGACGCTCATACACAGAGGCTCTCGGCCATATTAGTCATTACAATGTAAGATCCTGCATCGTCTGCTGGGGGGACATGTTGTAACATATTTGTACGTATTACTGTCGGCGAGATCAAAGGCGATGAGTATTGGCTAATACAGGATGAAGAACACTTTGTACAGCGGCACCGGCCACTCGAGTGTAGCAACCGAATGTCGCGCCCGCATCGAGGATAGTAAATGATGACGGGCCATGTTATGTGACTGTACATTTGTATCACGCCCTGACTGGACAGACATACGTACATACATGTACCAACATTTATTATTTGTTTGTTTGATTCTGTTTAACGCCGCCCTCAGCAATATTCCAGCTATATGACGTCGGTCTGTAAATAATCGAGTCTGGACAAGACAATCCAGTGATCAACAGCATGCGCATCGATCAACGCAATTGGAATACGATGACATGTTTCAACCAAGTCAGCGAGCATGACCGTCCGACCCGTTAGTCGCCTCTTACGACAAACATGGCGTATAACCATTCTCACTCAAGCGGGACCATTCTTATTGGTATGACGATAATCGCATTTTTAGTTGAGAAAATCATTACAAAACATACATAAGCTTCTGCTGTAAACGTAGATCAGTGTATATGATCCTATTTATCTTAGTTAATGTGAGTTATGTAACCAAAACACTAAGGGGACACGCCCTGTCGTATAAGGCGCCGCTATTTGCTGTGTAGAGTTGCGGCCCTTACTCTGCATTCAGGGTTGGTTGGTTTGTTGTTTGACGCCGTGTGTTTGAGGAGTCTGGACCAGACAATCCAGTGATCAACAGCATGAGCATCGATCAACACAATTCGGATACAATGTTAGTCGCCTTTTACGACAAGCATAAGTTGCTGAAGGCCAATTCTAACCCGGATCTTCACAGGTACATCAACCCTGGGAGAGGGGAGACAGAGGTGGTGACCAAAATAGTCCCAATGCACTTGACAACTTCTTTTCAAAACTCTCCCACTCACATACTAAAAATGCACGCATTCACTTCAAAAACCCAAATCCCGCCTAATCTCGTGATACGTTACTTTGTCCAAATTAGCGCAGTCACGATCAGCGTTATTTTTCCTACTGCTAATCACGATCACCAGACCACGTGGTCACATCTTTTCTCTCAACTAATAATGCGAACAATCGCAACTTCCTCATCAATTTCAGTATCTGAATCCTGTCTCCTGATGGGATGGTAATACTTCCGCGACGTTCCGACACATGACACCATTGTCAGGCGGTACACAGTCACTCGACATCGCCATTGTTATAGTGGACACTTCTGGGAAATAGCATGTGAAGTGTGTGCCGTATTTAGCTCGACATATTTGTAATTTGCCCTCAGCCAATAAAAATACAACTGTACTGACATGGAAATATTCTATTTTTGTAACTGACGTAAATGGCAACACATTACGAATGCTAGAATTAATCTTCAGTAACCCATGCTTGTCGTAACAGACGACTAACGGGATCGGGTGGTCAGGCTCGCTGACATGGTTGACACATGTCATCGTATCCCAATTGCGTTGATCGATGCTCATGCTGTTGATCACTGGATTGTCTGGTCCAGAATCGATTGTTTACAGACCGCCGCCATATAGCTGGAATATTGCTGAGTGCGGCGTAAAACTAAACAACATATTGTTTGTAACAACATTCCAGCACTATCATTTGCTGGGTGGGGTGACCAGAAATTGGCTTCACACATTTCATCAAAGTGGGGAATCGAACCCGGACCTTGAGCTTAACGTTCATACGCATTTACCACTGACCTACCCCACAGACCTTGTAAATAAGCAAAGTGCATTGTCCAGATTAAAATAAAATTTGTGGTTATTGAGGGTCGGGTTTTTATGGGGACCTATTAGTTTAGAGTTCAATTTGACCGTTTGTACTGATTGGGCAGAAAATCAAAATTTGATTTATTAACATACGGGTTGATTGGGCAGTGATTTATTAACATACGGGTTGTGAGATTAGTTTTAGTTGAGTCAATAACTGTGGGTGTGTTCTTTTTAAATATCTCGAATTTTCACTTGAAGGAAAATTATATCAGGTATTCATTACATGATCTATTCGACTGGTTATCGAACTGTCATCTTTTTTTAAGAAGGGTAAACCGAATCTAGTGTTCTGTCGATATCTGCCCATTATAGATTCTGGAAGTACCAGTGCCCACGTGCACAAAGCGATCTTAGCACTAAAAAGTGTTTGCCCTTAACCCTAAAAAGCTGCGATCGCCTCCGTGGTGTAGTGGTTAGAGCGTCCGCCCGGTGAGTGGTAGGTCGCGGGTTCGATCCCCGACCGCGTCATACCAAAAGACGTTAAAATATGGTACTTGTTGGTCCCTGCCTGCCTGGCACTCGGCATTAATGGGTACAACAAGGACTGGTCGGCTCGGAGTCCGTATAATGTGTCTGAGTGGGGTATTCATGCTTCACTGCGGCATGGTATCTCAGTGGGCAAGCACTATAAAACCAGCTTAAGTCTGGGCTAGTACAAGCAGCCGCACATACACATACACACGCATGCACGTCGTCATATGAGTGAAATATTCTCAAGCACGACGTTAAACCCAATTTCACCTCACCTCATCTCACCTCACCTAAAAAGCTGCAGGCCCTAAGGACCCAGAAACATAAAAGCGTTGTGGGTCCTTATCAGAATGTGTAGGTTCTATATTTCAGCTACAACATAAGTAATTCCCAGCATACAAAAATGTGACAACTAACAAACGGAGTTAAAGAGTTTAATTTAACTCGAATGACTGACTAAGTCTTTGCAATGCATTCGGATAATATGTTCAAGGTTAAGAGATCATATCTCAGTAATCTAAATTGCTTCCTCGAAAATGATAGTCGTTTCACTTACAGAAAACAGCTGCTGATCGACATAAAAACTAGAAATTACTGAATGATATTTTCTGAAAAATAATACTGTTAGTTATTGGCGATGAAAAAGCTGTCGGCCATAAGCATCTGAAAACGAAAGCTGTGGGTCCGAGTGGTTTTCAGTCGGCTTCGGGCCTAAGGACCGACGTTTATTTCGAACGCGGCACTGAGACAGTCTTAGTCTATGTTAGAGTATGGGAGATCGCTTTGTGCATGCGGACCTCTACAGTTCCATGTATCGCTTTGTGCATGTGGACCTCTACAGGTCCAGGTATCGCTTTGTGCATGTGGACCTTTACAGATCCAGATATTTTTGTTAGGATACTTTCTCCCTTGAAGACTGCATTTATCTAGTCTGCTAACGTAAAGTTAGTAAAGTGTACCCCATTATCAATACACGCCATGGTACCAGCTCAAGGTTAACTCGAAAAGGAAACTGAACGTTCTGTACGCACCCACACATGAATGTAGGTCACTGGCCAACGTTAGCCCTTTCCGGTCACAGCGGCATTGATACGACCCCCGGCGATTGATGCAGATATCGTCACACCCGCCATTATTTAATGAACATTCGTCAAAATCTGAAACACAAATATAGAATTAGAATTCACACCTGGTTGCCGAACATTTCCCAGGTAAAAGTACCAATGTGCCTTGGATCTCAAAAGGTCCACGAGTAACAAACTCCATTTGCCGGTTTGTGTTTAATGTATCTATAGTTCAGTAAAAATAAACAATAGCGATGTTATAGGTTTGATTATTATTACTATTATTTACTTTTTGTTTGCCTTTTTCAAACTCAGTATTACATGAGAACAAAAGTCATATTACATTATCGCGATAAGAATGCACTGTTAAACACATTTAAGAACTTCCTTGGCAGAGGTGTGTCACTTTGGCACTTTGGGTTCGAATCCCGATGCGCTAAGTGTGTCAGCACTATAGTTGTGTTTATGAGTGAGTGAGTGAGTTGAATTTTAAATAGAATTTTGATAGTAACAAATAAACCCATTTAAATTGAAAAGGAGTCCAAGAGAGTTGGGAGATTCTGGGGAAATCTAGACTTGCTTCATGTAGGGCTTTAGTTATTGCAGGGAGGGCGAGGCAGTAGGGAAAATAATGGTTGGTGAGACAGACTACCCTTCGGCCTGTCTTCCCTCATTAACCTGATACGCTGGGATATTACTGGAGAAATGGTAAAAGAGGCGTTGAACCTAGACTAACGTTTAGTCCCTGAATACATATAAATTAAATAGTAGCAAATAAACCCATTTAAATTGAAAAGGAGCCCCAGTGAGACCAGAGATTTAGGTCTGAACCTGAGGAAATCTAGACTTGCTTCATTTAGGGCTTTAGCATTGCAGGGAGGGCGAGGCAGTAGGGAAATAATATGGTTCAGGGACTGTGAGACAGACTACGTTGAACCCAACACACTCCTCACTCCACTACAGCAAAGGTATGTATCAATACAAATGTCGTAACTTTTCAAATGAACCATCCTTCTTTGTATTTCGATTTTGTCGAGAGTTTACGTGATAGACATTAAATGTTAAACATCACACTTGAAAAAACTTCAATACACGATGAAAATTAAACACTTGTTATATTTGGAATTACACTTTCTCAGTAAAGTACAGATTCTAGTATTTTTGTTAGGTTGATTCCCATCCGATATTCGAACCCACACCCTTAGAGTCAGGAACCTAATCGCCAGCACACGAAGTCAGCCGGCCAACCCACTTCGTCTTGTGGCCGGATGGAACTCAACCCAACAAACGTACTATAAAAAATATATAGAATCTGTACTACACTGAGAAATGTAATCCCAGGTATAACATGTGTTACATTCAAAAAGTGATATATTTAGAACAGGATCGACAGTATCACCGATCCCCTCAAGTCAAAGAGACAAAGTCCTATTTGAGTATTCAAAAGATTGTTGTTGTTTCTAAATTCAAACTTTCAAACACTCAAAAAGTGATATATTTAGAACAGGATCGAATAGAATAACACAATGTTTATTATCGCATCCCTCAAAGTGCCAAGATCCTCGTGGGTAGATTTCCTTTGAGGTATAGCTTGATAAGTCGGCTGTCACCTGCAAACACAATTCATCTTTAAAGCAAAACTACCCCGTTTGTCAAGTCCGGGAGTTGAAAGGATAATATCTGACACGGAACGTATTTCTGGCCTTTTCTTCTCGTGTTACCTCCTCTCGGATCTTAAAACACAACACTGAAGCTATCAATGAATATGTCATCTTGGCGGTTGCAAGTGGAAAAGTCAATAACATACCCTCACAAAAGTGGTCCGCCGAGCTGGGCTGATATCCGGGTATGGAACAGTCACACTTGTAAGATCCGGGTAGGTTGACGCAAGGACCGGGACATTTGTGCATCGCCCCTGCACACTCGTCTATATCTGTAACAGAACGTTCTGCGTTAAGAGGAGTGAGTGAATGAGGATTGTCTTACGCCGCTTTTAGCAATGTTCCAGCAATATCACAGCGGGGGACACCAGAAATGGGCTTCACACATTGTACCCATGTGGGGAATCGAACCCGGGTCTTCGGCGTGATGAGCGGACGCTTTAACCACTAGGCTACCTCACCGTCCCTCTGCCTTAAGAAGTACTATCTGCAGTTTTAAGCAGAAATGGATAACCAATAATTCTGGAAGCCCATTTGTCCAGTAACTCTCTGTGGTGGGGCATGTTACTGCTTTTTTTCATGGATATGTAGTAAAATGATTTTTTTAATAAAATTCTAAATTTATACAATGTCGCCACGGGGCGACCAGTGGCCCACGGGCGAGAATAGTTTCCTTGTACAAAACTCATGCTTTTGTGGTTAGCAAATAATTGAAAATATGTCTTCATGTATCATGACGCATGATTCAACTATTTTAACTTAATTTACCTGAATTACTGCGTTAATAAAACATTTGGTGTTTACCTTTTATATAGCGATATATTATATTATTAAGTGTGCGAGGATGCTATATCTGTTTGGTTTGTATGAATGACGCTTTGAACAATGTTTCATTTTGATCACAGCATGAATATGAATGGGGAAGAAAGTCCGAAATGATACCTTAACTATAAATGTACACCTTGAATTGGACCCAATCACTGGTATGGTGTAGACAAACTAGAAGTCTTTATCGCGAATCTTGGATTCGAACCCATGCCCGTAGGGTTATGGCTGTTCTCTGATGAGATTAGAAAATCCAATTTTTTGGAATGAATATTATTTACTGCTCTAAGTGGGTTCCGTACATGCCCTAAATAAAGTGAGACTACAGTGAGTGAGTATGGTTTTATGCCGCTTTTGGCAATATCCCATCAATATCACAGCGGGGGACACCTGACATGGACATCACATTGTACCCATGTGAGGAATCGAATCAGGTGTCAGGTGTCTCGAGCGAACGCTTAAATCACTAGGCTATCCCAGCGCCCGTTTTGGAAGTATAACAAATGAACATTGTTTGAAACCCTTACGCCAAACATATAATATATACAGACGTAATACAAGGACAATACCATAAAGACATTATTTAGATATACATTTAGCAAACGTTTCATAATATGTACGTGTAGACCCAAGTTTGGCCATACACTACACTGTGACTATCCGGGTCAGAAAAGGTTCTCTCCCTGCACTTATCACAAGTTTGGCCATACACTACACTGTACTATCCGGGTCAGAAAAGGTTCTCTCCCTGCACTTATCACAAGGGGTAGCCTAGTGGTTAAGGCGATCGCTCGTCACGCCGAAGGTGAGGGTTCGATTCCCCACATGGGTACAATGTGTGAAGCCCATTTCTGGTGTACCCCGCCGTGATGTTGCTAGAATATTGGTAAAAGCGGCGTAAAACCATACTCACTCACTCACTCACTGTCACAAGAGGCGACTAACGGGGTGATCAGGATTGCTGACTTGGTCGATGCATGTTATTGTACTCGATTCCCTGGATAATGTTTTACATCAATCACTGGAACATCTGCTCTTGAATCAATGACTGGCACCACACCGTCATACATACAGCTGGAATATTGCTGAGAACGGCTTCAAAACAACACACGACTAGATATGCTTTGCAGATGTCGACGGAATGGTGCATTCGGCGACCATGGATCGTCCCCATGAAAACCTCGAAGACGATAACCAATCCAAACGGTTATTGATAATAAAAATCTTATATTACTTGTTCAACAAACGAACAGTTAGAGTAGAGTACGCTCTTTGTTTTTCTTTACTAATTGATCCAGGCGCAGGTGCTAGTTTACTTCCAAATGCTATACTGTTCATCATTCGACGAGGAGCACGTATTTATCTGAAGATAATTTTGTCCTTAGAAAAAGTTGAGTAATATTATTCTAATCCTAGGCAAGATTTAATCGTGGTTTGCTAAAAGAAATATTGAAAGAAAGTACATTAAACCAAAGTGCTACAGCATTTAATTTTTTTTAAACTTTTGCAATATGTATGGACGTGTTTCTTTGAAAACAAAATGTTTTTACCATTTTGATATCGATGACATAAAATCGCCTAGATCCAAACACACCATCCATCAAATATGAAGTTTACATGCATCGAGTAACATGCCTGCCTTAAGCGACATGTGGGCGGAATTGAGGCATATCACTTTGCATCAGCCCAAACAGTACAACAATGCTAACAAAAGAAGATACGACTACACAGCGTGTCTATAATACAGGCAAAGACGACCCTCACTTGAATTTGACATGCAGGTGGGCGGAAATTAGATATATTGACGCTTTTTTTCGGACGGCATGAATATTTACGATTGCAATCACCTCCCAAAAACAAGATTTGGGGTAAAAGTCTTTGTTGACTCTATGTTGACTACAGGAGATTTGACGCTCCCACTCAGAGCAGGGTCTGACACGATCACTGCAGCCAGTTCGCTCGTCGTGGTATGGCTGCCGTGCTGTAACGGGGAAAATGTCACCCACAATTCTGTGCTCGGTTCATCTTGGATTAATTTGAACATAAACTTTCTGGGTCTTCAGTGAATTGCAGTTTACCTGTCGATCTAACCACGCTAAAATGGCTTTGGAACCGAACACACAGTTGCCTCAATCAAAGATGGTTGTCATTTGAAACCTCTAAATTAATTTGAAAATGGTGTCATTAAGTATTACTTCCATGCCGAAAGGTTATGATACCTCAATGTCTGGTGGTGAGAGAAGACTCGCGTGATCGTGAGGCTCGCTAAATAGGTTGATGCATGTCATCGTATGTCTATAAATGTCAATCACAGGATAGTCTGGCTCAGACCCGATTATTTACAGACCGCCGTCACATGACTATACATTTAATAGGTACGACGTTAAAGAACAAAGCAAACAAAAATGATTACAAAACATCAAACCGTGCCAGCTGTTCTTTGGAAACGATAACAGACCAACAGCTGAAATAATGAATTTCCGATGTATAGGTTGAGTTCGCCTTGTAACATTCGGCACAGAAGTGGGGTGGGTGCAGTTGTCATGAGCGCCCAAGAGTTGCGTCCCTTTGCAACCATGATCCGCTCATATTGGGTGAAATCTCCGATTAAGAACCTTGCCGAAAATAATACCTGCCCAACTCGCTGCTTTTCTCTCCCGCTGACGTGCCACTGTCAAAGCGGCGATAACATGAATTTTGTTATATATACTGACGGTAAAAAGGAAAGCAACACTCACCAAATATCATGACTAAACGAATGTGAAACACAAACTGGTTCTTTGTAGCTTCTGAGCTGCGTCGCGTTTATAATTTTTGGCGAAACATATTAAGTTCCTATGAAGTAATTTTCCTTGACAGATTTTTTCCTTGTAATTACGGACAAATCATCAGAGTTGTTCTGTCGATTTCATGTGACTGCAGAATTTGGTTTTGTTGCAATTATTAGATTTTGTGTGAGTGAGCAGTTCATCGTTCTCAAGTGAAATCAAACGGACTTGACAAAATCTGCAACTACCCAGCATTACGATTAAAGCTCGATGCGCTGATTTAAACAGAACCCACAGGCCAACAGATGAAGTTTTCATCACAATTTCAGCTACCTAATGAACTTCCTGTTTCATTACGGACATCAAAGGCAATTTGTTTCAATCATTGTCAAATGTGTGGTTATTTGATGACAAAACATTCGTAAGTATAAAATGTATAAAAAGATTAAAAAAGACGGAAATTCAGTGAAATTTAGGGATGTGATGATATTCAAACCGGATTCTCCTAATAGGATTAACAGTCTTAGATCTGGTCAAGGTTGAAACTCGAGAAAACAGTTCATGATAAAAACTTTGTTCATTATTATCATTATCGTTTGGGCCGCCATCCTGCTCGTCCGGATTCACAAGTGTCCGGATAAATGAGTGAGTGAGTAAATTTAGTTTTACGCCGCTTTTAGCAATATTCCAGCAATATCGCGTCGGGGATATCACCAGAAATGAGCTTCATCACATTGTACCAAACAATAAATAAAATGAATGGGGAACCGAAGTCGGTAATAGCCGGGTCTTCAGCGTGACGAGTGGACCATTGCAAAACAATTAACCACTAGGCGACCCTCCGTATAAATGAAATCGGGATCTATTTAAAGTTTTCTTTATGTAGAAATGTTAACTAAAGTACTGTCGGAAATAGAAAAAAACTGTTTTTAGGCTGTTACTCTGTATCCCTAAAATTGACACAACTGCAAATAGCATATGTCGAAATAACCCACTTCGGCCTAACTGGGCGTTCAGTGGGATGCGTAATACGATATCCAGAAAAGCATGTTGACTCGTAAAATCGGGCAAAACTTAAAAAAAAATACGAATAGCTGCTGAAAACAATAGATCAGACTATATAGATGGCAATTAGGTCGCTCAGCCAGGTATGACGACGGACCGTCGACTCACCTGGCATGAAATGCACGTGCTGCCTACAGGCACAAGGGGTCATTTCAAAGATATTTTGTGCTTTTTCATGTGTGTTGACTATGTCTCATCTACTGATTAACATCTTACATGTCTTTCTTTCATAAAGTTTATGTTGAGATATGTAAGCGAGTATGATACCCGAAAAACATAGAAACGCATCGTAGGTTAAAGTTTATAGGTGGCATGACCACCCGAAGATCGACAGGACTGGATATTATTTGCAAATTGTTATGACGTGCCGTGTACCTCCCCAGTATAATTGCCCTAAAGGATTATCTTATCTTAGCTGATATCTCTATCCCCATGCCCGATCCCCGGTTTTGCTTTTGAGGCGACCCCTCCTATCTGTTTCTTTTTATAGTGACAGTGAGACTGCATGGTAGCTACATCCTTAATAGTTTCGGCATAAAAGTTATTATTTTTTACGTCAGCTATCGTTGATAATGAATCTACGTCAAATTTCAAATTGGGCATTAAAAAAGTGTCCTTTGTAATACAATATCGCCGCACACTAATTTGCATAAAGCCATGGTCTGTTCCAAATAAGTCTTTTTGGACTTAGAAAAAAATCGCATTGCTCATTTCTGCACTAATTTCCCTCAGTAAAGTCCTTTTTCTACGTTTCTTGTGTCCCTACCATTGAGACTGTAGTTAGGCCGAACTTAGATTAACAGATATTTCACACTTGCACATATCAACTACATAAATTGCAGAGATAAATGAGAAAATACAGTTTTTTGCTCAGAACATCAATCACTGGTTTGGTTGGTTTTAACTGGATCATTTACATGCAGCTGTCATCTAACTGGAATATTGTTGAAGAGATGTCAAGCAACAAACAATTAATAAAATGAATGACAGAAATTAGCACACATTCATAATAATTACCTTACGTAATTAGTCGGTAATAGCCGACAATGACTGCTCCCCAAAATACCTTACTTTATTACTGACTGACTGACTGAGTTTGGTTTTACGCCGCTTTTAGCAATATTCCAGCAACACCACGGCGGGGGACACCAGAAATGGGCTTCACACATTGTACCGATGTGGGGATTCGAACTCGGGTCTTCGGCGTGACGAGCCAACGCTTTAACCACTAGGCTACCCCACCGCCCCCTTTGTTTTATTAAAAGGTAATAGAGGGTAATAACTGACAGTCATTGCAAAACAATATATACCATACGTTATTAGACGGTAATAGCCGACAATGACTGTCCCGCCAAAACACCTTACTTTACTAAAAGGTAATAGTTAAGAGTGATTGCAAATATTTAAAGTTTTCTTTATGTAGAAATGTTAACTAATGCAGATTTACAATTGCAGTTCAAACTTGTGGAATATCTAAAGAGTTGTCGAATAATGAATCGTCATTGTGCAACCCACGAGCATGGGTTTGGTGATAACCTCGAAACAAGCTGGATGAACCCGGATTCAAGCCCAAGATCAAAGGTTTGGGGCAGCCAATGAACGCAACTCCCAAAAAAACTAATGATGAATTAATACAAGAACAAACAAGTTTTCATTTTTAATCGTGAATATTAAAAACACAAAATGGTGCAGTGGCTTCTTTCTTTTCAATCACATGACCCCACAGGAAACTAAAATACTGGGCAATACTATATGGACGATAATCGTTTCTCAAAAATAACCGTATTTCCCCAGATACACGTGCACACTACGGTAAATATACCGCGTGCCCCGTACAACCCACGTCCTTCCTGAAACAGTATCTCATGAGCTAACGATACGGTCAATTACTTTAAATTACTTGTTTCCGAAATATTTTTCCTGACTTTCCAAAATGCTACTTTTCACTCAGATTTCGTTTTCTCCTCCGACTCCGACATTTAGCACCTTTCATAAAGAAATCAACAAAAACAAGATATTGGAATAACTTATCGCTGAATAAGCACAAAATATTTATAACAGGAACAGCAGAATATCATGGACGAAGTAATACGAAAATTATCATATGTACATTCAATATCGGGTACCACAGAAACAAAATATCAGCTGAAACGAAGCCTGATTCAGTCAACTGTAACGGCATTCACCACATCAGCGTTGATAGGGTATCTCGAATATCAGGGTGTAACTTTTAACATGAGTAACTCTTGACGTCACTGTTTTGTTGTATGTAAATAACAATCTGTAACAGGCACTTGTTTCACTGAACTTGAAAATATATCAGTTAGTTCTATAAAAATATGTTGAGAAAAAATCCCAGTTGTCTTTTCTATGTGCTGCATACATTTAGAGGATAAATTATAAATTAATTCAATTAAAACTTAAACCATTACCATGATTTCGTGTCATTTAATTAAATACCTGTTTGACATTTGAAAACGTGCAATACTGTGATTGGTCGTTTTATGTACATTCTTGCGTAAATCACTGCATATTGTTTTAGACCAATTTTAGCAATATTCCAGCAATACCGAGTGAGCATATTTTACGCCGCTTATGCATTATTTCAGCGATATCACTGCGGGGAACACCAGAAATGGAGTTCAGCTATTGTACCCATGTGGGGAATCGAACCCGTGTCTACGGCGTGGCTATTGAACGCTTTAACCATTCGGCTACTCTAACAGTCATCCAGCAATATCGAGACAGAAGGGTGGGTGAGTGAGTGAGTTTAGTTTTATGCCACACTCAGCAATATTCCAGCTATATGGTGGCGGTCTGTAAATAATCGAGTCTGGACCAGACAATCCAGTGATCAACAGCATGAGCATCGACCTGCGCAATTGGAACCAATGACACGTGTCAAACAAGCCAGCGAGCCTGACCACCCGATCCCGTTAGTCGCCTCTTAGGACAAGTATGGGTTACTGAAGGTTTATTCTAACCTGGATCTTCACGGGTGAGACAGAAGGACATCCTAAATGGGCTTTTAACACATGGTACCCGTAGGGGGTCTGATAACTCTGTAATGTTCATCAATTAAGCAAACAATGTTTACAAATTTGTTACACAGATACACGATCACAATGCAGCAATGAAGGATTAACACATTGTCAATATTGAACTAATACTGGCATGACCATCGCACCTTGTAGTATATAAAACCCGAAATACAGACATATCTATTTTGAGCAAGGAGCACCAACACAAATGCACATGAAAGCTTGGACGTCATCACAGAGTTGGCATGGAACGTCAACGGTTTATCAGTGACCATGTCGATTAAAAGTACATAAATAGCAGACGGTATAATGTGTCACAGGGTTCGAACAATTACATCACAGTCACGGTTTGTGTTGTCTTGGGAAAACTATCCCTCGTTGACACAAATCTACCTCAATGACCAAATAATTTCCTCCAAAATAAGCCTAAGATTAACAGAAACGTCCGTGCCTCTTTAAACACATTCTGCACCACTTATTAAAATCCATATTAGTAGGTGAAATCAGGGATTCTTTATAATTATATTATCGATGTCAAATATTGACAATATGTTCACGTGACTCACAATGAAAATCAGTCAGTCTTTCAAAAATACCATCAGATAAGGGTCCTTGTTAAAATGTATGACCGGCTACCTTGGCTAGTGTAATGCAGTCAACAACTGGTCAAGGGTAAAAGCAAACCAATGTTCACTTACCCTATTTATAGAATAAATTATATATCGGTGCATCACCTGACCAGTTTCAACCCCTGAACCATAATTAAATAACCATACCCTGAACTCAACCGTAGCTTATAACGGACACCCGTGAACATAGTTTCTCTTCGCGTCAATGACAGTAGTGCTTCATGTGTCTCTCAAGGTCCTTAGCCCAAGCAAATGTCATCCCACAAGCGTTGCAGCGAAAAGGCTTGACGCCAGAATGCCGAGTTGTGCGATGATACTTCAAGTCGTCTCCCCTGAAAAATGTCTGATCGCAAAGGTCGCACTTGTACGGCCTTTCTCCAGTGTGGTAGCGGACGTGACGTTCTCTGTTAGGTTTTGCCGTGAACACTTTCCCGCAATATTCACATACAAAACGTCTGTGTAGGTTGCTACTGTGAAACTCAAAGTTGGTGAAGTCGACAAAGTTCTCCTTGCAGACTTGACATTGGAAAGCCGACTGGGAACGGAAGAGCACTTCAGGGGTGACAACTCTTTCAAACCCAGGCGACCGGATGTGGATTCGTTCCAAAACAATTTCCTTTACTCCTGAACCAGGAGGCTGTTCACCGTCGAACGATGAATTTGCGACAGAGTCATTTCCAGGAGATCCTGGGTAGTCACTACTCGAGGGCATAAAGTCGTCTTGGAGAGCTCTTAATTCCTCGTCATGGTCTGGGATCTCTCTTTTTATAGATACGGGTTCCCCATTTAATACCACAGATTCAGCTGGATGAGACATGTCTCTTGGACCTATGAACAAACCAGGCCTGGCTTCTGAAGATGACTTCCTTTCAAAGGCCGACAAATGAGGCAGTTTGGTTTTCGACAGATCGACCATGGGGATGTTGTCCGTGACAGAGGGAGCATGTTTGTCTGAACCACTCGTCTCAGGTCTAGATTCCACCGAATCAGGAGTCATTTTCATAGCAGCAATATCATTGGGAAAATCAATGTCTTCTTTGCGAAGTTCAATCATTGCTGGTCCATCTGAGTCCGGCTGACGGTCCGTGTCCCTACTGAGTCTCTGGGACTCATGAGCCTCGTAGATGTGTCCATGGAGGCTATCCTCCGAAGCGAAGCCTATTTGACACTCCGTACACCAATACTGACTGGAGGATGTGCTGTTACCTTCAGGCTCCGGATCAGGGCTTTTATCTCGAGGTACTGTGGCAAGGTTCACGGGTTCCGTGTGAGTAGCGACGTGGGCCTTCAAGTCCGAGGGATAACGGAACTGTTTGGAACAGAAATGACATGAGTGGGGTCTACTTTGAGCATGGGAGTACTCATGTCTCACAAAGTGTTCGTAGGTATTGAGCTCAGTATTGCAGAAGCAGCAGCAATAACTCGTGAAGGACTCATCCGTTTTGTGTTTTTTCAAATGTGAGCTGTAGTCAAAAGGATCCGTGAACTGTTGGTTGCAAGGCTTGCATGTGTACGACTTTGTAGAATGGGTGAGGGTGTGCTTCATAAGGTCCAACGAGTTGATACCAATGAAAGAGCAACCGTCGCACTGAAAGTTCTGAAATTCGGGATGAGCTTTTTTATGTCTGGAGAACAACACTGTATCATTAAAACCTTCCCCACACTGTGGGCAAACATGGAGCAGCTTGGTGTGGTGTTCCTTGGCCATGTGATTCCTCACACACGACCTGTCTGTGTAGCCCTTCCCGCAGAGTCCACACCGGAATGGTTTGTTGTAGGAATGTCGGAGTACATGGGCCTTCAGATCGTCCTTTCTAGTAAATCCCTGCGCACACATCGTACACTTGTACGGCCGTACACCAGTGTGGAGCCGGAAGTGACGTTTCAGGTTATTCCTTGCTGTGAATCCTTTGAAGCAGATCTTACAGGTGAAGAGAGAGTGTTCTCTCAGGTTGTGGCTGTCGAATGATGTTGCATCAGGGACTATGGTGAAACAGCGCTTACACAAAAGTCCTTGAGGGTGCGTCATAGCCGAACTGTGAGCATGGATATTTGCTGGGATGAGACTGGTGTTAGGAGCAGAGGATAAACTCAGCTTGGAGTCTCGTTCTGCGCTATCACTTCTTTCTTCGTCATCACGCTTTTCGTTGTCCTCTGTTCCATCTCCTTTCCCTCCACCGAGGCTGTTTGATAGGCGACTAGTTACTTCACTTAATTTGTGGCTCTCCTCGGGGGAAGGGGCTGACGAGGGTCGTGATACAGGCTGAAGACCTGCAGCAGCGTCTGGGGTTGCTGACGTCTCCCCCGACTCGTCCACAGACACGTCCGACATATTCAGACCCTCAGAAGAGTCAGCAGGACTATTCACGACAAGGCCATCGTGAAACAAATCTCGTCTGCTCTTCTTTGATGGCGGGATTTCCATTCCCAGAGTTGAATCTCCATAAGAAAAGGAACGTAGGTTTTTCTGTACATATTCGTGTATTTTGACTACCATTGGCTGTGCATTATCCTCCACCGTGATGCATATTAATCCGTCTATTTCTAACTTGGCCTGGAAGGAGATTGTCTCGCGGCACAGAGTGAGCACTGACTGTTTCAAGAGCCTCATCAGGAGCTCCCTCTCTTGGGCAGACATCGTCAAGGCACTGAGGTAAGGGGGGTAACTCTTGTAGCTACATAATGGAAGCTGAAACGGGAAATGAAAAAGTATTAGGTAATGAATCACTGGATCGGAAAGAAATATATGGTGTTTTTAATAGGTAATGCTGATTAAAGATTTATTCACATCTCATTTGTTACCAAACGAAGCTTCATGCGAAAGATTATATATTTAGTTCCTTAATCGTATCATACAGGAAATATATAGGACACAGTGTAAAAGGTAGCGTTCCACGTTTGCTGCAGTTAGTCTCAATACTGTGAAGTATTTGCGTGCAACACCGCTGGGTACATGGTTCGTCAAGTCGTCTAAGGCACCACACTTTGTTGTACAGAGTTTTGTCCCCTTGGCGCACCAGGAACCCGTGATCACGTGTTCCAATATCAGTTCGTCACGATAATGTGTCTAGGTTTGTTAGCGCCACAGCCTTGCTTGTTGGTTTTACCACAGTGTAATGCGTCCTGGGCCTCCTTTCACAAAGCACTAAGGTGTTCGTAAGACACTAAGGTGACCTTAGTGCAATGTTAAAGAATGGGAGTTGAGGTTAATCTTAGTAAAGGTTGCTTCGAGAAAGGAGCCCCAGGGCCTGTATCACTTTCTCTCTCACAGTCCATATGCTTTCATTTGAGACCGATGAATTTTTCACTAACAAACGATCAGTATTTTGATGTCATTTCTCCTTCTCATCAGAGTTGGTTTGTCGATTTCGTGTGACTGTGCAACATTTGGTTTTGTTGCAATTTTTAGATTTAGTGTTAGTGAGCAATTCATCGGTCTCAACTGAAATCAAACGGACTGTACATGAAGTAGACGGCGCTCGTATACCAATACATTACTTGAGATCGATTCTTACCCGGGATCTCAAAGGGGAGAAATGCTTCTAACGCATGGTAATACACAATGTACGTATTTTGGTGTCGTAATTTGCATTCAACGATGAGTGAGTGAGTGAGTGTCTGGCAAGAATGAGTGCATGAGCGAGTGAGTGAGTGAGTGAGTGAGTGAGTGTGTTCTTTCACGCCACAGTGATATATAATTTTACATGACATCACAGCTTCCCTACATGGTCGAATCTCGTCACTGAAACTAGTGGTTGACATCATCAACAAAGATCCATGTCAAGGGACACAATGACATCCAATCAGCACAAATCCCCCATTTTACACGACCCCGAGAAGTATGGTGTCAAACAACTAGTGCCGGAGTGAGTGAGTGAGGGAGTATGGTTTTACGCCGCTTTTAGCAATATTCCAGCAATATCACGGCGGGGGACACCAGAAATGGGCTTCACACATTGTGCCCATGTGGGGATTCGAACCCGGGTCTTCGGCGTGAGGAGCGAACGCTTTAACCACCGGGCTATCCCACCGCCCCAACTAGTGCCGGAATGATCATTAGAAGACAAAGATGCTATCAAAGGCTTGCGACATGTAGAACCATAGTTTAACGCACATCAAACTTCACGTCCATTATTTTCTACCGCTGGGGCGAGACTCGGTGCAGACTGTCGGATGTCCGTTATATAACCTGCTGTAACTCCGCGACTGAACGACCTAATTACTTTCCGAAGGCGTAATATCCTATTACTCACCACAAAGCTGAACGGACGAAGTGGACGTGTAGACTTAAATTACTGGTTTGACAGATACACGTTTTGCTGTAGACTAAACTGTAGAGAAACCAAATCAAGTTTTGACCAACGTGAAATTAACCGACCCTGCGAATCCCAACGTTACAGAGTCATACCACCAGATGACTGTCAGCTCGATTGACTACTTGACTGACCAGTTGACTGGCCAGTTGTCTGACCAGATCACCGACCAGCTCAATACCAAGCCAAGGTTCATGCAGGTAATAAATACATACCTTGTCTACAAGACGTCGCATGTCTATCATAGTACCGTGTACATACAAATGCTTTAAACCACCCGCGGTACTTTTTCCATCGTATCCTGTATATATCGCTGCGTATGCTACGGGACACTGGCTGACGGCCGGCAGACAGTCACTAGACGCGCACTTGCCCGACTGCTTTCTTTACGTTCATCCGGGTTTGAAGCCACACGCGGAAACTCTCGGACTATGTATAGGACATGAATCACCAAAATTTCCCGTACGTAAATAAAAAAGTTCCACACTTTACCGTTGCATGATATGGCAAATTTGCACGCTGTGAAATACGTTCAAGAAAGTTTTCCAGAGAAAATGAATATTCTGATGAAATCCCCGGTGAAAGCAACCACAGCCAAACGATGACGTTATATCGAAATCCGGTGATCGTCATATAACCCCAGACTGAAACATCCCACTTGCTCGTCTACCTACTCACTGGTAATCGCCTACTCACTAGAAGACTCTTCAGGCAACACACTGGTCAACTCACTCACCAGTCAACTCACTAAACTTCGCCAGTTACCAGTCAACTCACTAGGCAACTGACTAGTCAAACAACTCACTGACAAACGTATTAATCAACTAACTAGTCAAGCGACTGGTAAACCAACTTACTGGTCAACTCACAGGTTCATTCATCAACTTATTGGTCAACTCACAGGTTCATTGATCAACTTACTGGTCAACTCACAGGTTCATTGATCAATGTAATGATCAACTTACAGGTTCATTGATCAACTTACTGGTCAACTCACAGGTTCATTGATCAATGTAATGATCAACTCACGGGTTCATTGATCAACGTAATGATCAACTCACAGGTTCATTGATCAACTTAATGATCAACTTACAGGTTCATTGATCAATGTAATGATCAACTTACAGGTTCATTGATCAACTTACTGGTCAACTCACAGGTTCACAGATCAATGTAATGATCAACTCAAAGGTTCGCTGGTCAACTTTCTGGTCATCTCAAAGGTTCACAGATCAATGTAATGATCAACTTACAGGTTCACTAATCAACTAACTGGTCAACTCACAGGTTCACAGATCAATGTAATGATCAACTTACAGGTTCACTGGTCAACTGACTGGTCAACTCACAGGTTCACAGATCAACTTAATGATCAACTTACAGGTTTACTGGTCAACTTACTGGTCAACTCACAGGTTCACAGATCAATGTAATGATCAACTTACAGGTTCACTGGTCAACTTACTGGTCAACTCACAGGTTCATTGATCAACGTAATGATCAACTTACAGGTTTACTAACCAACTTACTGGTCAACTCACAGGTTCACAGATCAATGTAATGATCAACTTACAGGTTCACTGGTCAACTGACTGGTCAACTCACAGGTTTACTGGTCAACTCACAGGTTCACTGATCAACTTTCTGGTCATCTCACAGGTTCACTGGTCAACTGACTGGTCAACTCACAGGTATACTGGTCAACTCACAGGTTCGCTGGTCAACTTTCTGGTCATCTCAAAGGTTCACAGATCAATGTAATGATCAACTTACAGGTTTACTAATCAACTTACTGGTCAACTCACAGGTTCATTGATCAATGTAATGATCAACTTACAGGTTCACTGGTCAACTTACTGGTCAACTCACAGGTTCATTGATCAATGTAATGATCAACTTACAGGTTTACTGGTCAACTTACTGGTCAACTCACAGGTTCATTGATCAATGTAATGATCAACTTACAGGTTCACTGGTCAACTTACTGGTCAACTCACGGGTTCACAGATCAATGTAATGATCAATTACAGGTTCACTGGTCAACGTACTGGTCAACTCACAGGTTCATTGATCAACGTAATGATCAACTTACAGGTTTACTAATCAACTTACTGGTCAACTCACAGGTTCACAGATCAATGTAATGATCAACTTACAGGTTCACTGGTCAACTGACTGGTCAACTCACAGGTTTACTGGTCAACTCACAGGTTCACTGATCAACTTTCTGGTCATCTCAAAGGTTCACTGGTCAACTGACTGGTCAACTCACAGGTTTACTGGTCAACTCAAAGGTTCGCTGGTCAACTTTCTGGTCATCTCAAAGGTTCACAGATCAATGTAATGATCAACTTACAGGTTTACTAATCAACTTACTGGTCAACTCACAGGTTCACAGATCAACTTAATGATCAACTTACAGGTTTACTAATCAACTTTCTGGTCATCTCACAGGTTCAGTAATCAACTTACTGGTCAACTTACAGGTTCACATATCAACGTAATGATCAACTTACAGGTTCACTGGTCAACTTAATGATCAACTTACAGGTTTACTAATCAACTTACTGGTCATCTCACAGGTTCATAGATCAACTTAATGATCAACTTACAGGTTCACTGATCAACTTTCTGGTCATCTCACAGGTTCACTGATCAACTTACTGGTCAACTCACAGGTTCACAGATCAATGTAATGATCAACTTACAGGTTCACTGGTCAACTGACTGGTCAACTCACAGGTTTACTGGTCAACTCACAGGTTCACTGATCAACTTTCTGGTCATCTCACAGGTTCACTGATCAACTGACTGGTCAACTCACAGGTTTACAGATCAACTCACAGATTCACTGATCAACTGACTGGTCAACTCACAGGTTTACAGATCAACTCACAGGTTCACTGATCAACTTACTGGTCAACTCACAGGTTCACTGATCAACTTACTGGTCAACTTACAGATTCACAGGTCAATATTTGCACAAATGCTACACGATGTGACTCTAAATTCACTGACTCGCCCAAGTGGTATTTATTTGAGATAAGTACTGTACTGCAGATATACCATATCGACTGTAGTTCTGACAATTCAATAGTTCTCGCTTGTCCGAGTTGACGTTGATGCGGAAAATTAACACATGATTAATTTCCACTCCCATTACACCGATAATCATAGAAGTGCAATACAATACCATGCCACTTTATTTAAGCTGACGAAACTAGGGCAACAGTCGGTGTAGTATTTGATAGCACGACTGTGTCACATGCGGAAGGATATTTGAATCATACAGTTCGGTTACATTTTCCTGTGAGGCAAGTTTTCCTGCCCCAAGTGATTACCGGCCATGTTATGACCGAACAGGCCACTCAACCAG